TCCATTTCTCCAAGGTTGTCAAATGTATAGGCATAGAGTTGTTCATAGTATTCATTTATTATACTTTTAATATCCATGGGATCTGTAATGATGTCCTTTTATTTAAAAGTTCAGATATTAGTAATTTGTCTCCTCTCTCTTTTTTCTTAGTCTGGCTATAAGCTTATCTTTTTATATTTTTAAAATTTTTTTATCTTTTCAAAGAATTTGGTTTTGTTTTCATTGATTTTCTTTATGATTTCCTGTTTTCCATTTCATTGATTTCTACTGTGCTTTTTATTGTTTACTTTCTTTTTTTTCTTTTTTTATTATTTACTTTCTTCTGTTCATTTTGGATTCAGTTTTCTCTTCTTTGTCTAGTTTCCTAAGGTGAAAGCTCAGATGATGAATTTTAGATCTTCCTTTTTTTCTAATATATACTTATCCAGTACTATCAGTCTCTAAGTTGCTTCATTCTGACTCTTTGCCACCCCATGGACTGTAACCCACTAGGCTCCTCTGCCCATGGGATTCTCCAGGCCAGAATACTGGAATGGTAGCCATGCCCTCCTCCAAGGGATCTTCTCATCCAGGGATCAAACCTGTATCTCTTATGTCTTCTGCATTGACAGGCGGGTTCTTTAGCACTTTCACCACCTGGGAAGCCCCATTCAGTGATACACATTTAAGTATTGTTTTCACTACATCCTCCAAATTTGATAAGTCGTGTTTTTATTTTCATTTAGTTTAAAATATTTTAAAACTTCTCATGAGGTTTCTTCTTTGACCCATGTGTTTCTTAGAAATGTGTTGTTTAATCTTCAAGCATTGGGGGATTTTCTAAGTATTTTTTGTTTCTGTGTAGTTCCACTGCCATCTGAGAACAGACATTGTAAAGTTTCTCCTCTTTTAAATTTGCTAAGGTGTATTCTGTGGCCCAGAATGTGGTCTGTCTTAGTGAATGTTTCATATGAACTGAGGGATTGGTGTTCTTGCTGCTGTTGGATGAGGTGATCTGTTGATGTTCATTGTATCCAGTTGACTGATGGTATTGTCGAGTTCATCTCTGTCCTTACTGATTTTCTGCCCACTGCATCTGTCCTTTTCTTATAGAGAGGAGTTGAGGTCTCCAACTGTGATAATGGATGCATCTGTTTCTCCTTGCAGTTCTGCCTGTTTTTGCCTCACATATTTTGATGCCCTATTGTTAGGCAGTACACATTAAGGATTGTTCTGTCTTCTTGAGAATTGACACGTTTGTCATTATATACTGCCCTCTTTATCCCTGAGAACTTTCCTTAAAGTCTGCTCTATTTGAAATTAATATAGCTACAAACTATATAGGTATAATGTACTAACTATATTAAACTATATGTCTCAACCTAGTTTAAGCAGCAAGAGAACGTATTGGCTTATGCATCTGGAATCCATAGGTAACTTAGCTTCAGGTATGGCTGGATCCAGGGGTCCAACAAATGCTGGAAGATTAGCTTCATTTTCTTCCTCTATGATAGCTTCCTGTGCAGGCAGGCTACCCCCCTTGGTGGTAAGATGGTATCTCACAGCTCCAGTCTAGCCACCTCAAAAAAAGTGAGCACCTCTTCCCAAAAGCCCCAGGTCTCACCCTCATTGGCCTGACTTGGGTCATGTGTTCACCTCTGAACTGCAGAGGTTTGGACTCTCCAGGGGTGAAATTCTCCCCACTCTAGAAACAGAGAGTGAAGTTAGCTCCATTGCGAGCACACACATGGGCTCTGGGAGGAAGCAGATATATTGGTTTCCTAAGGCTGCCATGGGCTTCCCAAGGTGGCACTAGTGGTAAAGAATCTACCTGCCAATGAAGGAGATGCGGGTTCAATCCCTGGGTCAGGAAGATCCCCTGGAGGAGGAAAGGGCAACCCACTCCAGTATTCTTGCCTGGAGAATCCCATGGATGGAGGAGCCTGGTAGGCCACAGTCTATGAGGTCGCAAAAGAGTCAGACACGACTAAGCAACTAGGCAACAGGAACAACAGGGCTGCCATAAAACTCATCACTGCGAGCTTGGTCGCTTAGAAAACAGAAACTTTATTCTCTCACCATTCTGAAGCCAGAAGTCCACAGTCAAGGTGTCAGCAAACATTGGTCCCTCTTGGAGGCTCTGAAGGAGAAACCATCCCATGCCCTTCTCCTGGCATCTGCTGGTCGCTGGCCATCCTTGGCATACCTGAGCTTGTGGTGCATTACTGCCTCTATGTTCACAGCATCTTCTCTTCTTTTCCAATGACACTAGTCATTGGACTTAGACCCAGCCCTAAATCCAGGATGATTTCACCTCAAGCTCATTTACTCATATCTTCAAAGACTCTATTTCCAAATAAGGTCACTTTCTGAGATTCCTGGTAGACATTAATTTGGAGGGGAGACACTATTCAACCCTCCACGTGGTGGTTCCATCAAGGGATAATCAGGGTGGTCAAACCATAGGATAGCCACCATGGGGTGATGGGGGTCTCCAACTCTGATGCCCTGATGTCTCTGTCCCCAGCAATTGGGCTCTTTGCCTCCATGGCCACAGTGCTCCTCGGTGGGATCCGGGCATCGAGCCTGCTCTTTCAGGGGCTGCTGTGGGATGTGGCCCGGTCTCCTATTGGCTTCTTTGAGCGGACACCCATCGGGAACCTGCTAAACCGCTTCTCCAAGGAGACGGACATAGTAGATGTGGACATCCCAGATAAACTCCGGTCTCTACTGATGTATGCCTTTGGACTCCTGGAAGTTGGGCTGGTGGTGACAGTGACCACCCCATTGGCTGTCGTGGCCATCCTGCCACTGCTCCTCCTCTATGCTATGTTTCAGGTAAGGAGAGCTCAAGGAGGCTCCTGGGGTCATCCAAGGTCACCTCCACCAGTCACCTGTCTCTGGACAGGACTCAGTGTAAGAGGTTCCATGCAGCCGGACATCTAGGGGCCACCCCTAGAAGAATTCTCAGAGACAGAGACACCACAGTCTGTTTCTAACACGTATTCTCATCTCTGTCTCTCAAATGTTCACATCAAAATTCTTCATATCTAACAGTTTATCCTGCTGCTGCTGAAATTGGCTTCCTCTCCTCCAGTGATCTGGAAACCAAGAAGGCATTGCAAGCTCTTGAAGACTGTTGTATTAGACTAGACTTTCAGTGGCTAAAACCAGAGACCACCTCAAATTAGCTTAAACACAAGAACCGATTTCAGTGACACGCTCCCAGGGTGTAGGGGATCAGTTGTTCCCAGAGTGCTGTCACTCCATATCACCCCTTAGTGGATCTCAAAGTGTGGTACCAGAACAGCAGCATCAGTTTCACCTGGGAACTAGTTAGAAATGCACCTTCCCAGGCCCATCCAAGACCCCCTGACTCAGATACTATGGAGGTAGGGCCCGGAACTCTGGATTTTAATGAACTTTCCAGGTAATTCCAATCCATGCTAATATTTAAGAATCACTTATTCAGCTCTGCTTGGCCTAATTTTGCACACATGCCTTCCCCAGGGGGCAGGTCTGATGGTCTGGTGGCAACCCTGTACTTACAGCCTCCCACCTTAGCAACCCCAGCACAAGCAACCTTTCTCCAGCTCAGCAATCATACATCAGTTCCAGGGAAGATTCAGATTGGCCCTTCATGGGGGTATTCATCCTGAACTCATCACTGTGACCAAACAGGGCTGTGTCATGTGACTACCTCCTTGATCAGATCTCATTATTGACAGCTAACCCCGCAGACCCTCAAGGAAATCAGAAGGAGAAAAAACCTTGGTAGCCAGACAAAAATCAGAAGTAGAAAAAAGCAACATGATAGCCAGATAATATTCATGGTATCACTTCCCTCCACAACTATCCCAAGTCTCTTCTATACCCTCTTGAGCTGGGGGAAGAACTGCTTTCTCTGTCTGAAGCTTTGGAGTTGGGCAGAGATGGATTTGAATCCAGGTCCTGGCCCTTGTGTGCTAAGGGGCTCAGACCAGCTTCTTAATCCCTGTGAGTCTGGTGTTCTTATGTATATGCTGTGAATGATGCTTACTGCTTCTATATTCACAACAATGTCCACCTCCAAATGCCCACCTCACCATGACTGAATACTGCAGTTCACCCTTGAACAACATGGAGATTAGAGGCACCAACCCTCCTTGCTATTGAAAAATGTGCTTCTAAGTGACAGTCAGTCCTCTGTATACACAGTTCCTTCATATCCACAGATTCAGCCAACCGTGGATCATGTCCTACTGTAGTATTGACTATTGAGATTTACTAAAAATCCACAAGTAAGTGAACTCATGCAGTTCAGACCCATGTTGTTCCAGAGTCAGCTGTATTTGGAAAGAGCCTGGCATGCCGCCCGGTGGTCAACAAAGGCAGGTTCCTCCCCACCTGCCAGTTATATAGCGGTTCAAATGTCAAAGCCGATGACAACATACATTGTTTGTGCATCACTGTGTTCCCAGCATCCGACATATAATCCTCAAGTTAAGTGAACGCATTCGACTTGTCCAGCTGCCTTCCTTGCCTGCTGTGGCTTTGTTCCCACAATGACTGGCCCTAAGTGAAGCTGTTGGCCTTGGAGCTAGGAATGAGACATGTTCAGCAGATTAGTGGTTTCTCCACCCTGGCTATGCTTGAGACTCACTTGAAGGCTTTTGAAAAATTCCAAAGCCATGGCGATGATGCCAGAAATTCTGACTTAATAGTTCTGGGGTGAGGCACTGGGAGTTTTTGAAGCTTCCCAGGTGATTTTTAAAACGACCCATGGAACTCTGATGCTGCAAGGACATTGGAGCTCAGAGAGGAGAAGCAGCTGACCCAAGGTCACACAGCAAGCTGGTAACAATTCCCTCTGCTGCTCAGACTCTGTGTGTTTGTGACTTCTCTGCCATCCCGCTTCAGAGCCTGTACGTGGCCAGCTCGTGCCAGCTCAGACGCCTGGAGTCAGCCAGATACTCGTGTGTGTGTTCTCACGTGGCCGAGACATTCCAGGGCGGGCCAGTGGTCAGGGCCTTCCGGGTCCAGGGCTCCTTTGTGGCTCAGAATGACGCCCACGTGGATGAAAGCCAGAGAGTCAGTTTCCCGCGGCTGGTGGCTGACAGGTAGGCAGGGGTCAGAGAAGACCCTCTCATCCATCTGTGTCCCCTGAGAATGAATGAGCCCTCATGTCATACTGTGTGGCCAGAGAAGTCAAGGGGCCTGCCCAGTGAGTCAAGCGTAAACAGAGCCTAGATCCCAGGGGTGTACATGGCTCACTCTATGAGCAGATGCAGGTTGGCCTGGGGGATCCCCGACAGCAGGTGGGCAGGAGGTACAGATGTCAGAGAAAGGGAAGAACTGTCTGTTGCCTTGACGACAAAGGAGCTACGTAAACATCCTCAGCCTCCTTTCAGTACCGAGCAAGAAGAAGAACACTAGCTTTGAGAACAGACAGACACGGGTGCAGATCCCAGCTCTCCAACTTGCTAGCTGGGTGATCTTGGGCAAGTCACATAACCTCTCTGAGCCTCATTCCTCAAAGTGGGTTTGCACTCATGGAGCGGCTGTTGAGATTAAACAAATATACTCATAGCTAATACTTGTAATGTGCTCACCACATGCCCAGCACAGTCCTGAGCATCCTTTGTGGGTCAATTGTTTTAATCCTTTTAGCAACACGACCAGGCAGAGACTATTTTACAGAGGATGAATCTTAGGCACAGAGAGATTTCAGAACTTGCCCAGGGCCACACAGCAAATATATGGTGGAATCAGGATTTGAACCCAGGCAGTGCAATGCCAGAGTGTGGAGATGGGCAAGCACATAGCAGATGTGAATTCAGTAAATGTCAGTTCCTTCCTATTTTCTGTCCAGGTCCCCAGCCAGCTGGGGCTGGCTGTGAAGCTCTGTAGCTGTGGGTAGTGTCTCAACTCCATCTGCCTTCTGGGGGACCTGCCATGGCCCCTTTCTGGGGTCCTAGACTAAGGAGGAGGAACCTTGCAAACATTTAGGAAGCACCTACGTTGTCCAGAGGTCAATGATTTCTGCACCATATACAGCAGGGTGTATCTCATCTAACCCTCTCAACTGTAATAAGCCAGATATTATTTCATCCCACAGATGGGTAAGCCAGGGAGGAAAGAAGTGAAGGGACTCCCCCAAGGTCAGCCATCTAGGAAGTGGCAGACCCTCAATCAGGCAGATGTGGCTTCAAATCGCTGTGTTTATGATGTGTGTGGACTTGGACCGTCTGAGCCCCCGTGTCCTCATCTGTCCACTGGGGACAAGGGTCTCCTTATCGTGGTGTTAGGAGGACTAGGTGTTATGTGCAGTGAAACCCAGAGCTTCCTGAAGACAGGGTCTTTTATCTCATCCCCAGCATCTCCTGCATGTGTGGCACACAGTAGGTGCTTAATACACATCTGCTGAATGGATGAATAAATGAATGAATGGTAGAGCAGGAATGGAATAAAAGTGGTGTGTATTTCCTCAGCCACTCGATATATATTTGTTGAGCACCTACTATGTGCCGGATCCTGTGCTGGGTTCTCGATGGGGACAAAGCTGTGAATGAGATGAAGTTGCTGCCCTCATGGAGTTCACAATCTGCTGATAGAGGCCAACAGTCAAGGACAGATTAGTTTAGTTTTTGAGAGTGATAGAAGGAAGGAGTGGTCTGAAGGGCTCTCCAAGGAGGTGATATCTGAGCTGACTTGTGTGAGGGTAGGATGTTGGTCAGGTGAAGATGGAGGTGAGGTTCAGGCAGGGGAAACACAGGGGATGTGGCTCGCCACAGCCCAGGGACAGAAAGCAGAGCTTACCTGAGCACCTACTGTGTGCTGGGTCCTGAGCTAGGTGCAGGCGAGACGGGGCAGCCTGGGCCTCCCCAACCCTCCGAGCTTGGGTGTGGAGGAGATCGTAGCCGGGGCCCTGTGGGCACTCGAGCTGGCACAGCCCTTGTGCCCAGGGAAGCAGGTCCCACAGAAGGCCCCCACTGACCCCACTCTTACCTGTCCCTTCGCAGGTGGCTCGCTGCCAACCTGGAGCTGGTGGGGAACGGGCTGGTGTTCGTGGCCGCCCTGTGCGCAGTGCTGAGCAAGACCCACCTCAGCCCCGGCCTCGTGGGCTTCTCTGTCTCTGCCGCCCTCCAGGTACTTCCGACACCCCTCAACCTGGGCTCCAGGCTGTGGGCAGAATGGACACAGACCCCTGCGAGGGGGACCTTCAAGAACCTGAGTCCAGCCTACCAGCCAGTGAGGAAAACACGGCTCTGCAAGAGCCGAGGCTGGATCTTGGGCAAGACTCTTCTTCCCTCTCGGAGCCTCAGCGTGCTCCTCCGAAAAATGGGCAGTAACCCCTTCCTTCCAGATGTTGCAAAGATTGATTGAGATAACGTAGATAGAGTCCATGTCCAGTGTGCTGTTAGCGTTTTGTTAACTCTTAATAACAATATCTAGTGTCAGGTTATGACATCTGTAAAGGATGGCTTCCCTGCTGGCTCAGACAATAAAGAATCTGCCTGCAGTGCAGGAAAACTGGGTTTGATCCCTGGGTCAGGAAGATCCCCTGGAGAAGGGAATGGCAACCCAGTCCAGTATTCTTGCCTGGAGAATCCCATGGACAGAGAAGCCTGGCAGGCTCCAGTCCATGAGTCGCAGAGTCAGACACGACTGAGCAACTGACACTTTAACTTTTTTCACTTCTAAGAGGAAAAGAAAAAATTATATATATATATATATATACACACACACATGTACACTTGCATACGCAAGTAGCATTCACTATGAATGAGACATTGTTCTAAGGGCTTCATAAACACTAGGTCATTCAGTCCTGCCCACAGCCCCATCAGGGGTACTGTTATTGTCCTCATTTTATAGTTGAGGCAACTAAGCTTAAGGCTGCAGCAAGTAAGACTGACTGATGGGAGGGTGCTTTTCTATCACGTGGTCCAGAGGTGTCTCCAAGGAGGGGGCCTGAGATCTGTGCCTCTCAAGTGGGATGATGGGGAAGGGAAGTGGAGAGTGGTCCTGGTGTGGAATCAGCAGGAGGAAAGGCCCTGGGATGGGGAGAGGTGTGACTGGTGTTAGAAGAACAGCACAAAAGGCAATGTGGCTGGAGAGAGCGTTTGAGGCAAAGATTAGGGGGAGATGAGGTTGGGGGGCTGGGGGCAGGGCTGGAGCAGACAGGGCGAGTGGGCCCTGGTAAGGAGCTCGGTGTGGTTCCCAGTGTGATGGGAAATCAGTGGAGGGAGCCCTCTCTGAATGGAAGTCCGCGGGCCTGGGTCCTGCTGGGTGTCCTTGGGAGGGCTATGCGCCCTCTCTGGTCCTGTCTCCCTACTGCTTCAAGAAGGATTGGGCACGCTGATGTCTGAAGGCTCGTTTCTAGTCCACATACCCCAGTTTGACTAAAGGGAAAGAGGGGTCCTTGTGGCTACAGTCAAACTCTGCCGCCTTGTCTGCCCCGGATCCCACCTCCCAGCCCCTGCCTCACCTCGGGGTGGTCTTGCTGAAGCTGCCCTGGGGGGTCTTCTCGTACCAGGTGACCCAGACGCTGCAGTGGGCCGTTCGCAGCTGGACGGACCTGGAGAGCAGCATTGTGTCGGTGGAGCGGTTGAAGGACTACGCCCAGACGCCCAAGGAGGTGACGGGCGGGAGGCGGGGCGGGGGTGGCAGGTCCCGTCTGGGCTCCACAGCAGAGGACGGCGGACCCGGATCTGCCGCCGGCTTCAGGGCCCCCACCGCGGTAGACCGGACTCACAGCCAAGGTGGCCGTCGTAGTTAAGAGGGAAGGGTCCGGAACGAGGTCAAATCCTGGTTCCTCCGCCTCCTAGCTTGGGCACAGCAGGGCGCTGTGAGTGACAGGGCACCGTGAGTAACAGCATGATAGTAACATGATGGTCGGAGGCGTCCTGGTGGTTCAGATGGTAAAGAATCTGCCTGCAGTGTGCGTGAGACCTGGGTTTGATCCCTGGGTTGGGAATATGCCCTGGAGAAGGAAACGGCAACCCACTCCAGTATTCTTGCCTGGAGAATTCCATGGACAGAGGAGCTTGGCAGGCTACAGTCCATGGGGTTGGTTTTACTGAAACATAATGGCAGCATTGTAGGAACAGAACAGAAACAGCAGCAGCCTAATAGTTCTGGGTGTACTAGGAGATCATCCCACAATAAAGGACTTCATACCGGGTCCAACACACCATAAATACTCGGCACATGCCCACTGCTCCCCATTTCACGGATGGGAAAGTCAAGGCTCAAGAGAGTGGAGTGACCTGTTCAAGGTCACAGGAATCGTGTATGGCAGCACTGGTCTCCACACTGCACAGAGTTGCCCTTTTCATTAAGAAACAAGGAGGGCATCTACCTCTATTAGTGAAAGAATATTATTTGATAGTTAATACTGGCTAATAATAATAATTTAAAAGTAGCCAACACCATTATAATTTTCACAATATTCAGTATTATTTGTTTTTAGCCATGCTATATTCCATGACCTGTAAGAACCCTATAGAATAGCAATAAATATGCCCATTTTATGGGGCTTCCCAGGTGGCACTGCTGGGTAAAGAATCCCCTTACCCACTCCAGTATTCTTGCCTGGAGAATTCCATGGACAGAGGAGCCTGGCAGGCTACAGTCCATGGGGTTGGTTTTACTGAAACATAATGGCAGCATTGTAGGAACAGAACAGAAACAGCAGCAGCCTAATAGTTCTGGGTGTACTAGGAGATCATCCCACAATAAAGGACTTCATACCGGGTCCAACACACCATAAATACTCGGCACATGCCCACTGCTCCCCATTTCACGGATGGGAAAGTCAAGGCTCAAGAGAGTGGAGTGACCTGTTCAAGGTCACAGGAATCGTGTATGGCAGCACTGGTCTCCACACTGCACAGAGTTGCCCTTTTCATTAAGAAACAAGGAGGGCATCTACCTCTATTAGTGAAAGAATATTATTTGATAGTTAATACTGGCTAATAATAATAATTTAAAAGTAGCCAACACCATTATAATTTTCACAATATTCAGTATTATTTGTTTTTAGCCATGCTATATTCCATGACCTGTAAGAACCCTATAGAATAGCAATAAATATGCCCATTTTATGGGGCTTCCCAGGTGGCACTGCTGGGTAAAGAATCCCCTAGCACTGCAGGAGACGTGATTGACCTGGGTTCAATCCCTAGGTCGGGATGCTCCCCTGAAGGAGGGCATGGCAGCCCACTCTCGTATTCTTGCCTGGAGAATCCCACGGACACAGCAGCCTGGCGGGCTATCGTCTATGGGGTCGCAGAGAGTCAGATGTGACTAAACTGACTTCACCTGCATGCCCATTTTACAGAAGAGGAAACTGAGGATCAGAGAGGTAGGCCATTTCATGAGAAGCCTGGAGAAAGGCTCCCCTGACCCAGTGTCCCCTCCTGCCTCAGGCTCCCTGGAAGCCGCTTTCCTGTGCAGCCCACCCCCCCTGGCCTCGTAGGGGGCAGATTGAGTTCCGGGATTTTGGGCTGAGATACCGACCCGAGCTCCCGCTGGCCGTGCGGGGCGTGTCCTTCAAGATCCATGCAGGAGAGAAGGTCAGTGGCTCACCTACCACTTCCTCCTCGTGGTGGCCAGGCTGGGCATCACCCCTGAGTACCAGCTCCCTCCTTCTCTCCCCACCTCAGGTCCCCAGTCTCCAGACCCACCACTCCCTCAATGGAACTAACCATCTTCCCCAGAACAGCTTCCGTCTTGGTGAAACCACTCACCTTTTTGATGTCTAGATAAGGAAGCCTTTCCCCAACTTCTTTCTTTTTCCTGTCATTAGTTGAACACCTACTATGTGCTGGGTGCTGTGCTGAATGTCCCACACATTATCCAGTTTGCATGGGCTCAGTTTCTGGCTTTGCTATGGCTGACCTTTGGCAAGTCACTGCATGTTTTGGCCTCAGTTTTCTCTTCTGTAATAATGGGAATAATAATGTCAACTCATAGAGCTGTTGAGAAATTTAACTGGGTTAATACATAGAAACTGAATGGAACAGTGCCTACCTGCCACAAAACAAGTGCTATAAAAGTGTTCACCAACTCTTTTTTATTCATGATTATTTGCATTTTTACTCCAACATCAAGCCTAGCATCATTCCATTTACAGATGCCTAGTCAGGCTGCTTAACTGAACCCCTGAATCCTTCTCTACCCTCCCCACACAGTGGCATTCCTCTCTGCCCTCCCCCTGACTGCTCCCGGCCCCCCCAACCTCCTGTTTCACAACCTCCAACCTCTTTTCCTATGATCTTGATTTGAGCACGTCATTTCCCTGCTCCAGACCTTCCTCCCTCCTCGTGTCCTTCCAGTAAAACCCAAACTCCTGAGCTTGGCATTCAAGGCCCTACCCAGCTTCCCACTTCACTCATTGTCCTACAAGGGATTAGGCAACATTTGTGGAGCAGCGGCCTCTAGGCCAGATGCGTACATGGTGGTGCCCTCGGACAGGTTACAGCCTAGTTAGTACTTGGTATCATGCAGCTGGAATCTTCTCCCTCCCTGAACTCCTGCTTATCCTTCAAGATTTCACTCAAGTATCCCCTCCTCCATGAAGCCTTCTCTGATCAACCTCCATCCCAGGCAATATGAACAGCGGCTCCGTGCTTACCTCCATTGCTGCAGGGCCAGAGCTTGATTATAGAGAGGGCTTGTTCATCACACTGTGTTCAAATTAAGTTTACTCAAGGGCACTATTTTCAAGATCAGATGGTGAGCCCTTTGGAGCAGGGACTCCTTAATTTCTGTATTCCTGGTGCCTTAAAGAGTGCCCATCATACAGTGGGTGACACAGATGCTTCATTCATTTATTAAACAGTGTTGATCCCCCACAAAATGTCAAGGAAGGATGGGGGATGGATTAAAAGATGGGCTGGCAGATGGAAGGATGAAGGTTGGATGGCTGGGGTTGGGAGCTGGATGGAAGGAAGGAAGAGGCATGGATGGAAGGATGAATGGATGGATAGGATGGAGTGAAAGGAGAGACAGAAGGAAGGAGTATGCATTGAAGGATGGTGTGTGGAAGGAAGGATGGACAGATGAACAGATAAGAGTGTGGTTGGGAGGAAGGGTGAGGGAGGGGAAGGATAGGAGGAAGGGGGACTGATAGAAGGATGGGACAGAAATAGATGACATGGGATGGAAGGGAAGATGAGAATGATGGAGTGGTGTGGATGAAAGGATAGGAAAGGATGGAAGGATGAAGGAGCAGAAGGAAGGGTGGGGAAATGAATGAAGAGGTGGAAGAGATATATCAGGATGAGGGAAAGAGAGAATAATGCACAGATGGTTGGATGGATTGATGAATGGGTATGTGGACAGGTGGGCAGATGGAAGGATGAATGGACAGATTGGGTTAATACATAGAAACTGAATGGAACAGTGCCTACCTGCCACAAAACAAGTGCTATAAAAGTGTTCACCAACTCTTTTTTATTCATGATTATTTGCATTTTTACTCCAACATCAAGCCTAGCATCATTCCATTTACAGATGCCTAGTCAGGCTGCTTAACTGAACCCCTGAATCCTTCTCTACCCTCCCCACACAGTGGCATTCCTCTCTGCCCTCCCCCTGACTGCTCCCGGCCCCCCCAACCTCCTGTTTCACAACCTCCAACCTCTTTTCCTATGATCTTGATTTGAGCACGTCATTTCCCTGCTCCAGACCTTCCTCCCTCCTCGTGTCCTTCCAGTAAAACCCAAACTCCTGAGCTTGGCATTCAAGGCCCTACCCAGCTTCCCACTTCACTCATTGTCCTACAAGGGATTAGGCAACATTTGTGGAGCAGCGGCCTCTAGGCCAGATGCGTACATGGTGGTGCCCTCGGACAGGTTACAGCCTAGTTAGTACTTGGTATCATGCAGCTGGAATCTTCTCCCTCCCTGAACTCCTGCTTACCCTTCAAGATTTCACTCAAGTATCCCCTCCTCCATGAAGCCTTCTCTGATCAACCTCCATCCCAGGCAATATGAACAGCGGCTCCGTGCTTACCTCCATTGCTGCAGGGCCAGAGCTTGATTATAGAGAGGGCTTGTTCATCACACTGTGTTCAAATTAAGTTTACTCAAGGGCACTATTTTCAAGATCAGATGGTGAGCCCTTTGGAGCAGGGACTCCTTAATTTCTGTATTCCTGGTGCCTTAAAGAGTGCCCATCATACAGTGGGTGACACAGATGCTTCATTCATTTATTAAACAGTGTTGATCCCCCACAAAATGTCAAGGAAGGATGGGGGATGGATTAAAAGATGGGCTGGCAGATGGAAGGATGAAGGTTGGATGGCTGGGGTTGGGAGCTGGATGGAAGGAAGGAAGAGGCATGGATGGAAGGATGAATGGATGGATAGGATGGAGTGAAAGGAGAGACAGAAGGAAGGAGTATGCATTGAAGGATGGTGTGTGGAAGGAAGGATGGACAGATGAACAGATAAGAGTGTGGTTGGGAGGAAGGGTGAGGGAGGGGAAGGATAGGAGGAAGGGGGACTGATAGAAGGATGGGACAGAAATAGATGACATGGGATGGAAGGGAAGATGAGAATGATGGAGTGGTGTGGATGAAAGGATAGGAAAGGATGGAAGGATGAAGGAGCAGAAGGAAGGGTGGGGAAATGAATGAAGAGGTGGAAGAGATATATCAGGATGAGGGAAAGAGAGAATAATGCACAGATGGTTGGATGGATTGATGAATGGGTATGTGGACAGGTGGGCAGATGGAAGGATGAATGGACAGATAGAAGGATGGATGCACAAAGGATGATGGATAGATGGATGGATCTTGGGTGCAGGGTAAACATCTAGCAGAGGCATGCCCAGGAACCCTCTGTGGCCTGCCTTCTGGCCAGGCCTGGTTGGAACAGGCCACACCATCCCATCCCCTGGCAGGTGGGCATCGTTGGCAGGACAGGGGCTGGAAAGTCCTCCCTGGCCGGGGGCCTGCTGCGGCTCGTGGAGGCGGCAGAGGGCGGGATCTGGATCGACGGGGTCCCCATCGCCCAAGTGGGGCTGCACACACTGCGGTCCAGGATCACCATCATCCCCCAGGTGAGGCCTGGGGAGGGGCGGGCAGAGATGGGAGGTGTGGCTGGGCCCAGCTCTGACCCGCCGTCCCTCCTGGCCAGGACCCCATCTTGTTCCCTGGCTCCCTGCGAATGAACCTCGACATGCTCCAGGAGCACACGGATGAAGCCATCTGGGAAGTCTTGGAGATGGTGCAGCTCAGAGCCGCGGTGGCCAGCCTGCCCGGCCAGCTGCAGTTCGAGTGTGCCGACCAAGGCAACAACCTGAGGTACGGTCGCCCCAGCCAGCCAAAAGCTCTGTGGGGTGCTGGGGAGACGCAGGTGTGGCCAGTGTCCCCCCCGCCAGGGTGATATGCCCTGGAAGTCACCTCCATGGGATTATCATATAGGATTATCAGCCCTGTTCTGTTTGTAACCACAGGACAAATCCCACCCCTCATAAGCAATTCCTACTCCAACACAATCTCCGAGTATCAAGTTTCTTTTTCCTAAATTTGTTTCTAAATTTCTTTGGTGACAAAAGCCAACCTCCACTGACACAAGGCAGCTTATGTATGTATTTTTCTCACTCAGCATTTATTTTGCTACAAAAATAGTGTTTGATATTGGACGCTAACGCCATGCTCACTGGGGTTGTTAAGTAACATATGATGTATGCCTTTAAAAGCTTTAAGAAACTGTAGTAAAATACATATAACATAAAATTTACCATCTTAACCACGTTTTAGTGTTCAGTTCTGTAGTGTTAAGTACATTTACATCATTGTGCCTCCAGAACTTTTTCATTTTGTGAAATGGAAACTCTAGCCATTAAACGGCAATTCTCTGTTCTTCCCTCCCTCCAGCCCCCTTTAACTTTGTTTCACTGGGTTTGACAATTCTTGGTACTTCATTTAAGTATATTGGGTCAGTTCTTCTCCCTCGGTTCTTGTCTTGTCATAGCAAAGGATTGAAATGACAGACTAGGACAGCTCAAGTAGGCAGGATTTATTAAGCAAGCAGTACTCTCTCGAGGCATGAGAGCAGACCAGCCGCCACAGGAATGGTCTTGGCTCAGCTTTCCTTTTTCTCTCTCTTTGGTGGTTCCTGGGGCTTGATTAGTTGCACCCCATGCAAATGAGTCGTGAGCCCAAAACCAATCAGGGGAGGGGTTGTGTCTTCCTCTGGGCTCCAATTTCTTATGCAAATGAAGCATAAGCCGAGACCAATCAGAGCAGGAGATGAGAGGAGGACGTTGTGCAAATGTAAATGAAGCATGAACTTGGCAGGTCCAGTCAGGGAAAGAAGTGTATGTTCTCCCGTTGTCTTTTTGGACCACCATTTGGGGCCCTGTATCCCTACCTGGGGCCCTGTATCCCTACCTAGCAAGTAGAATATTCTAGAACTTGTCTTCCTGTGACTAGCTTATCACACATAGTATAATGTCCTCCAGGTTTATCCATGATGTAACAAGTGCCAGGTTTCCTCCTTTTTTTAAGGCTAAATCATATTCTGTTGTATGGATAGATCACATTTTTCTTATCCATTTATCCATTGATGGATGCTTGGGTTGTTTCTACATTGTGGTGACTGTCAATAACAGGTGTACAGGTGTGTGCCTTTTTAAAAATCAAGACATTCTAGATTCTTCAACCCGTCTGACCCAGAAGGTGTTAGGGTAAGGGCCCATGGGTGGTAATGGTAGGAGGAGGGACAGAAGAGCTTGGTGGTCAAGAGCATAAACATAAGTGGAGGACCTTGGGCAAGTTATTTAATCCCCTGTGTTTCCGTTTCCTCATCTGCAAAATGGGAATAAAAATTAGAACCTGCCTACCCGTGCAAGGATTGAACAATACATGTAAAGTTGTTGACACAGTGCCTGGTGTGTAAGAAATACTCATTTCACTATTCATTTTTAATACTCAAAGCTACAGTCTCACTAATCCCATTTCACAGAGGTGGAATCTGGGGCTTCAGACTTACCAACTTGCCTGGCTCATAAGTGGTGCATCTGGAGCAAGGTCCAGGCACCCGACACCCACCAGGCCACAGTCAGTCCAGGTTCCCTAAAGGGTTTACTTGGAGCAGAAGCTGAAGATGGCAGGAAACAGCCCCCAAACACCCTTCAGCCTCCAGGCTCTGGGAGCTCAGTGACTGTGTGTCCTTGACCCTCAACTTCCTCATCTGTAATTGGGGTAAAAGGAGGACTTACTCTGTGATGATCACGGCTTTTACATGACTTAGCTTGTCCTTACAACCTAGTGAGGAAGGATTCTGTAACCTAACACCCACCTTTGTGGTCTCCATGAGATGAGTCAGTATCCAGTGGCACACAGTGAAGACCACAGAATAGAGATAGAAATAGCCATTTCACAGATGGGGAGACTGAGGCACAGAGGCTTTGTATGACTTGCCTAATGTCACTCTGCTCAAAAATGGCAGGATGAGGATTCCTATAGACAGGGGACCCACAAGTAGGGACACGCCTCCCTCGCTCCTGTGGCTGCCGTAGGGAGTGGAGACACATTTGTGGGCACGCCCTGTGGGTCAGTCCTAAGGTGCAGACATTTGGCCTGACTGTCCCACTCCTTCCCAGCGTGGGCCAGAAGCAGCTCCTGTGTTTGGCACGTGCCCTTCTCCGGAAAACCCAGATCCTCATTCTGGACGAGGCCACGGCTGCTGTGGACCCAGGGACAGAGCGCCAGATGCAGGCCGCCCTGGGGAGCTGGTTTGCGCAGTGCACAGTACTGCTCATTGCCCACCGTTTGCGCTCCGTGCTGGACTGTGCCAGGTAAGCCCCGCACCACCCCACTCCATGTAGCTGGCACTCCTGCAAGCAGAGGAAGGCATCAGGGTTTGGAGCCAGAAGGGCTCTGGAATACATTATCAAGTGCCCATTGTACAGATGGCAAGACTGATGCCCACAATGGAAGGATGAGCCCGAGGACACATGTCCAGCAGATGCTTCCAACTGGGTCATCAGGGTTAAGAAGCTGCATGGAAGGCCACACTCTCTCGGAGGTGACATGCTGGGCCTTCAGAGCAACTGAGTCCGTGGGCTGGAGTCTAAGGAGCTGCCTGTCTCTCTCTCCCCTGCAGGGTTCTGGTCATGGACGAGGGGCAGGTGGCAGAGAGTGGCAGCCCGGCCCAGCTGCTGGCCCAGAAGGGCCTGTTTTACAGGCTGGCGCAGGAGTCAGGCCTGGTCTGAGCGTGGCCCCTCCATCTTCCTCTGGCCCCACCTACCCGGAGATTCTGCCAAGCCCTGGAGACGTGCTGACCTGGGGTCATCACTGGCCCCTGTGGAATTGAGTCTAGACGCCTTTCTACTCTCTGGGAGCAGAAAGTGCCATATCATCCCAGAGCCAGGAGGACACAGCCACCACATAGGTCAGCCTGATCAGGGCCTATCCAACCTCTTCTATCCCAGAACCAAAGTCAACAGCAGCTCTCTGCCCTGGCTGCCCCATAGACTCAACCCGGGACCCGCAAACCTGTCTGTGCCCAGGCTCCACCACAGACCAATGAAATCAGAATCCCTAGGACTAGAGAAATTGTGTGTGTACCTTTTACAGAGTACCCCTTCTATTTTGAGATGATTACAGATTGACAAGCAGTTAAAAAAAAAAAAATAGTCCAAAGAGCTCCTGTATACCCCTTCCCCACTAATACCAACGTCTTTCCATTTTAAGTATAGCTAATTGACAATGTTGTGATAATTACTACTGTATAGCAAAGTGATTATAGATATATATTATTTTAAAATATTATTTTCCATTATGATTGTAGGATATTAAATATAGTTTCCCTGTGCTATATATACATCATAAAATAGTCATAAAATACGACTATTTTAACAATTCTTCCAGTTCAAGAGCACGGAGTATCTATTTCTTTGAACCATCTTTGTTGTTAGTCAGTCACTCAGTCGTATCAGACTCTGCAACCCCAAGCAGCACGCCAGGCTTCTCTGTCCTTCACTATGTCCCAGAGTTTGCTCAAATTCATGTCCATTGAGTCAGTGATGCTTTCTAACCATCTCATCTTCTGCTGCCACCTTCTCCTTTTGCCTTCAATCTTTCCCAACATCAGGGTCTTTTCTAAAGAGTTGGCTCTTCGAATCAGGTGGCCAAAGTGTTGGAGCTTCAGCATCAGTCCTTCCAATGAATATTCAGAGTTGATTTCCAATTAGGATTGACTGGTTTGATCTCCTTGCAGTCCAAGGGACTTTCAGGAGTTTTCTCCAGCACCACAGATTCCCTTTATTAATATCTTAAGAGTTCTCAGCAATATGTCTTTTACCTCCTTGGTGAGGTTTACTCCTAAGTATTTTATTTTGGGGGTTGCAATTTTGAAATTTTTCTTTTACATTCCCTGACATTTCATTGTTGGTGTAAAGAAATGCAACAGATTTCTATATGTTAATCTTGTATCCTGCTATCTTGCTGAATTTATCAGTTCTAGGTTTTGTGTGGAGTCTTTAGGGTTTTCTATATACAGTAGCATATCATCTGCATATAATGACAATTTTACCTCTTCCCTTCCAATTTGGATTCATTTATTTTTCTTGTCTGATTGCTGTGAATAGGACTCCCAGTACTATCTTGAACAGAAGAGGTAAGAGTGGGCATCCTTGTCTTATTCTAGACTTTAGCAGAAAGGCTTTCAAAGTATTCTGTCAGCTGTGGGTTTGTCATAAATGACTTTTATTATCTTGAGATATGTTCCCTCAGTACCCACTTTGCTAAGTTTTTCTCATGAATGGCATTTTGTCAGATACTTTTTATGCATCTATTGAGGTGATTATGTGGTTTTTATCTTTTGTTTATGTGGTGTATCACATTGGTTATGTATGTTGAACCATCCTTGTGAACTTAGGATAAATCCCATTTGGTTGTGGTGTATGATCTTTTTATGTGTTGTTGGATTCAGTTTACTTATATTTTGTTGAGAATTTTTGCATCTATATTCATCAAAGATATTGGCCCATAATTTTCTTTTTTGGTGGTGTCTTTGGTTTTGGTATCAGTGTGATGGTGGCTTCAAAGAATGTCTTTGAGTGTTCCCTCTTCTTCAGTTTTTTGGAAGAACTTGAGAAGGATAGGTATGGTATGTTAGATAGAATTCACCTATGAAGCCAACAGTAATGTCTTAAAAGACAATAGATTAATATCACAACCAGGAAATTGACATTGGTACAACCCACAGATCCTGTTCAGATGCCCAGTTTTACTTGTACTCACTGTGTATGTGTTTACTTTCTATGCAATTGCATCACCCACACAACTTCCTGCATCCGCCACAGTTGGGATGCTGCCCGCTCCCATCTCCACATGGACCCGTCCACCACGCCCACCTCCCTCCCACCCCCATAATCACTGGTGTGGTGTCCAGCTCATGTGATTTCAATGTGTAGCCAGGACTGAGAGCCACCGCTCCATCCTCATCCTTGAGCTGCTGGGAGTATCTTGTCTGAACGATGCATAAACCACAACCCACACAAGGGATGGGGCTCTCCAGGCACAAACCCAGCACGCAGTTCAGTTCCAAAACCGAGATGCGAGGAGCCAGGTCTCCTGGGCCTCACCCGGAGAAGTTGCTCAGGATTTGGAGCGTTTCATCCATTTGTTGATCAAAGACCAAGTTCTGCCCCAGCAGCAGCTGGAACACCCAGGGCATTTTTGGTAACTTCTGCCTGCCAGGTGCCAGGGGGGAGATGCTGTTGGAAGGCCTAGGTCAGGGACGTCCTGTGCCCCCCTGTGTAGCATAGTCAGCGATATCCCTGGCCTCCACCCACTCGAAGCCAGCAGCACCCCCTCCTCTAGTTGTGATGCAACAGTGACTGCCCGCTTAGTCACTGACCCCACCATCAACAATGCACCAATACTTGGGCACTGGCTGTGTTACTGCGTCAGAGCAGCCTGTCGACACCCACCTACTTGCCGGGACACAGCCGGCTCTGTCGCCCCCAGCTCATGGGGTCCATCCTGACCTGAGATTTTCAGCCCAGAGTAATCTAAACCCAGCTGCTACCTCCCCTTTTTCAGGATGTGACTAGAAGTTAATGGGGTGGGCGTTGGCATCTCTTGCCTGTCCATCATGCCAGCCAAATGTCATTACTAGTGATTTTGCCCCATTCTGCAGATGAAGAAGCTGAGGCTCGGGGAGTCGACGTGACCTGGCAAGGCCCACCCAGCTGGGAAGCGGCAGAGTGGGCATCTGCCCCTGGGCCTAACGCCAAAGTCCACATCATCTCGGGCGGGTGTCCATCCAACTGCAAGATGCGGCGACATGCGGGAAGGGACCAGAAACAACGCTGCTTGTGTCTCCGCCTGGAGCTGAGCCACCTGCCACCCTGGGAGAGCCCCCATGGGCAGCAGCTGTGTGGTTGGCACCCTCCCTTGGGGTCGTTCCAGGGCTGTAAGAGCCTCCTTCATGGAGGGAAGTGTTTTGCCAGGAAGCAGAGAGTGGGCCATGGAGCCAGCACCCTCGAAAGCCTGTTAATAATTAGGCTGCTGTCGGGCGCGCGCCATGGCTCCTTGGACACCAGCCCACCGGCCACCCGGGCCATTAATCCCCCTGCCGTGGGTCCTGCCAGCAGCGCCTGGCTGGCCGGAGGAGACAGTGAAGAGGCAGGAAAGCCACATACAGACCTTCCTTGGTCAGTGCCTCCCTCAGTAGGTCCTTTAACCTCACCCAAGTCCCACTGGTCACTGCCCACACACAGCCCAGCTCTAAATGCCTGTTGCCCAGTTAATCCTCACAACTGGAAAGGGAAGTTATGTCACCCTGCGCCTTCCTAGGATGCTTTGCTGAGGAAGGTGGCATCATGAGGCCCCTTTTACAGGTGAGCAAAACAGAGTGTAAGTAGAGATTTGAATCCAGGCAGGCTGGCTCCAGAGCCCATGACCGAAGTACTGTGCCACAGCACTCCTTATACATTTCCCTAACATCAGCTCACAGATAAGAGCTCAATTCCACTCCAGAAATCCCCCCCGAGGGAAACAGATCTTCTTCTTCTTGGGCCGAGATGAGAGACTGGTGCATTTGTGTTGGCTGTGCTTTCCCTGGCCCCACCACGGTACATACACAGCATATAGGAGGGGCCAACATATACCAACTGTATGACTGGATGGATGGATGAAGAGATGAATAGTTGGATGGATGGACAGAAGCATGAATGCACGAATGGCATCACGACATATGAAGGCATCCTAAGAGCTAGGCGTATGCTGGGTGCTTTACCCCAATCTGGGTAAAAAAAAATTTTCATCCTCAAAGCCACTTGGTCAGGTGGATACGAGGATCCCAGATGTACCAGTGAGGAGGCCATGACTCTGGAAGGCCCAGTTCTAGGGCCCCAGTGACCCCACTCTGGGCTCAGGCCTAGTCCAGTCCCAGCTCAGAGAATGCGGTCACTGAGCGCGTGCCCTGCGCCCTGCTCTAGAGGGGGGCGTTCAGCAAGGAACAGACAGATTGCAGCCCTGCTCGCATGGAGCTGCCACTGTCAAACAGGGAGGAGAGCAGGGGATGCCAACAGCTGGGGGAAGAGGGAGGGCCCTGAGGCTGGAGGAACAGCAGCGAGGTGAGCAGGCGGGTGAGCCGGGGGCTCCTCTCTGGCCCAGGTTCCCCTCCCAGGGGAGAGCTATGCAAAGCGCCAGGCCCGGACCTGATACACAGCAGGCGCGCAACCAACTTTGGTCCCCCTTCTCCTTCCACAGCACTGGGGCGCTCACCTGGAAGAGCAGGTGTGCAGGGCCCCCTCGTCCCCTTCTTCAGGGTTAATGCTGCACCTGCCCCTCTTCATGAAGCGGGTGAACTTTAAGCACAACATATCCACAGGCACACGCGGGTCCCATGGCCATTTGGGATCTGGCCCGGGACTTTTAACACTGAGCATCAGGCTAAAATCAATCCCCCACCAGCCTCTCACACATGCCTCTCATTCTAAGGGTGACAACCTCATAGCTGCTTTTCCTTGAGCATCTCTACCCCCTGCCCCCCAGCCCCTCCGGCAAGGCAGCCTGGAGGGAGTGGGACACCGTCGTGCGGGGTGGGGGGAATGCATTCCACTGGAAGGCAGATTCTTGACCAGAGGACCACCAGGGAAGCTCCCAAGGGAAATTCTTGCCACATGTGATGCTGGCTATGCCTGTGTCTTAGAACCCGAACTGGGCCACGCACATAACACCCACATCAGTGCTCATCTTCAGAGCAAGCCCAGGAGGCAGGTATGATCAGCCGCATTTTACAGATGAGGCAACTGAGGCACGAAGACTGAGTGCCTTGCCCAGGGTCACACAGCCTGCAGAGGATGAGGGCAGGACTCAAGTCCATCCACCGTGCCATGCTGAGTCCCCACCAAACCCCACCTGATTCTTAACCTTTAGGTTCCCAATTCCAAGAGCTCCCGCTAGAAACACCACACTAGCCAAGGAGTAAGGACAGCAGCAGACGAGAGAGTGCCCCGTCCTGAGTCCTGGAGAGAGAGCGGGAATCCTCGCTAGAAAGAAAATGCAACAGTCATTTAGAAAGAAAATATTTTTTTTTTACTGCAAATTATTTGCAAATGTTCACGTTTCCAGTGTAAGTCATTACAAAAAGATCCCCAAGAAACACTTGGTTTAGCTAATGTGAAAGAATGGTTTAACTTACAAAAAATAAATATATATTTCCACCTAAAAGGAGAAAGATGCTTCTCTGGTTTGAAGTCAGCAATGTAATTCAAATAGCGAGCATGAATAGCGACCTCTCTCTGCTTTTTGGGTCTCATTTGGTCTCCAATTGAGGGACCTACAGGGCTAAGACAGACCCCAACCTCCAGAAGCTGGGCCAACCTGGTCATTCCCTGGGGTGCTGCTCCTCAGCCCAACGCTTCCTCCCAAGAAATTAAAGTCTTGAGACTGTTTATCTCCCTGGAGCAGTACTTTAAAAAAAAAAAAAAAGAAAAAATCACTGACACTTGTGAAAAGGTCTTTTTCTTGTCTCAGAAGAGACTCAGTAACCGTTAAGTTATCCACTGTGCTGGCCTTGACAGTGAACCAGTGGCCCCCGGTGAAAAACCGAAATCTAAGAACAAGGAGGGGACTCACGGGGGCTCTTTTCAGTACCAGCTGCTCCCACCCAGAGGGACTGGTGCTCTTGGCTTAGAACACTTCCTAACGATGAGCAGGTTTTCATTCTCGGGCACCTGGAGGTGTAAACCCATTCTAGCCATGGGTAAAAAGACAGAGGGAGGAAGGCAAAGACTGAGGTGGGTAAGGAGGTGAGCAGCCAAGAAGGGAAGCCAGCACTGAGGCCTCTCTCCCAGCCTGGACTTCCAGGCCCGGTCACCCCGAGTCCAGCCAGCAAGTTCCGTTGGAGGCAGGGCTGGGAGGCTGGTTCCCAGCGTCTGAGCACCTGGTAGACCAGATGGCTGGTGAGAGGGCCATCAGTGGTCCTTGGGACACTGCCCAAGGGTGAGCACAAGCTTCATCAGGCCCCTCACCTCCAATTGCAGCCCTGGAGAGACAAGCATCTGGGGACAGCCAGGCAAGGACGGAGAGGTGCCGGGGATGCCGGGGACCAGCGAGCATCTCCAAGGCGCGGAATCCACAGACTTCAGCTGGAAAGACCTGAGGCAGTTGGCTGGATTTGGTCACTAGCAGATTTTACACAACCGATTTCTCTGGAAGTCTGCTGGCCTGAATGTCCCCACAGAGCAGGGAGAACACGTGTGCCCTCCAAGGGGTGTGAGAACGTGTGTGCATCTGCGGGGGCTACAGAGCCAGGGGCATGTGTGCATCATTGCGGGGGGAGGGGCTGCATCCCAGCATCTCCCATTTCTTCATGGCCAGTTCCAGGCAAGGGCCAGAGGGCAGCTGCTCTGTGTGTGTTTTGGTTTGGGAGGAGGGGGCGGTTTTCATTTTTTTTTATTTCAGTCTATGAGAAGCTTGGGTTCCCAAGGATGCTGACTTGTCCTTGACTGCTGGCAGGTCGGCCCTGCAGTTCTGACCAGCTGCACCCACTCCGGGCTCACACCAAGCCAGCATCTTTGGCCATGCTGTAGAAGACACCTCTCCGCTGCAGGAGGTCGGAGGGGGAGCCCCACTCCCGGACCTCCCCTTTGTCCAGGACGATCACCCTGCAAGGGAGGGACACAGACGTGAGGTGTGGGGTAGGGGCTGGCACCTTGTGCCCCAGGAGTCTACTTGGGCAAGCCCCTGCTTTGGGTCAGACCCCCAACACCCTCTACCAGGCCTGCTGCAGCAGCCATCCACCTGGCTGCCTGGCCTCGACCCCAGTTCTAGTCAACACCCTGTGACGTAACCTTCAGCACTCTCTTATCGCCTTGTGTATTTCCCTCCCAGCACAATTTGCTTTTATTTGTTGCTGTATTTATTGTCTATCTCTGCACCCAGCCCCCAACTAACTAATCCATAAGGTCCCTTAGGCAGGCTCCTTGTGTGACAGCTCCCGGCTCGGTCCCCAGTGTCTGGAACGGAGCCAGGAATGTAGCAGACAATCCACACACATGTTAACTTTTGACTGAGAGATGGCAAAAATGCCTGGTACTAACCAGGCCAGAGACACACCAGGGCTGTCACTAGGCGTAAGGTCAGTGTTGCATGAATGAATGAATGAATGAGTGGGTGAACGGGGTGGGGTGGGGGGCGGTGGACCATGAGACCGGGAGGCCTTCTGGGCCAAGAGCATCACCTCGTGTAGTCCATGATGGTGTTGAGCCGGTGAGCGATGGTGAGGACGGTACAGTCATCAAACTGTGTCCGGATGGTGGACTGAATGAGATCATCCGTTTCCAGGTCCACGGCCGCCGTGGCCTCGTCCAACACCAGGATCTTCGTCTTTCTCAGCAGGGCCCGGGCCAGGCACACAAGCTGGCGCTGCCCGACGCTAGACCGGGAGAAAGACCAGGAAACGACTGTCAAACCCACCCCCGACGCTGAGCCCAGGCCCGAGCTGAGAGGAGGGAGAGGAGACCCTGTCTGCTGCTCAGACCAGGAGAGCACTTCCACCTCCCACATCTGAAGCCGCATCAGCCACACTAATCGATCAGCACAGTCTACCTGCTGAGCTAGAAGCACTCTCAGATTCATTCTCCACACAGAGCTCAGAGGTGATAGCCAAGGTATCTGATCAGTTCAGGATAGCGAGTAGAACAATTAGCAAACTGGCCCCATATCCGTGCCTTCTGCAGGGCCTCTCTCAGTGGACCTGGGACTTGACCTTGTGCCAGCTTTGTCCACTGGGATGCTGGCAAACCTAGAGGCTTGGAACGGGGATGCACACCATGGTGTGCTCACGCCTGCACCTCTGCCATCACTGTGACATGCCTAGGCTCGTCTGCCAGGGAAGGAGGGACACATGGGGAAGAGACTAACAGCCCCAGTGGAGGCCAGCTAGAATATCCACCTGCGGCCAGTGGCCCCCACCCACGTGGGTGAGCCAAGACTAGCAGCCGCCTGGCTGGCCACCCCCGTGTGTGAGTGGCCACGGCTCTTGGTGAGCACACCTGAGGGTTGGTGCTTGGTTGTCATGGTGACGGATGCAGTGAGAGAGGCACAGGGTCCCTGCTGTGCCAGGCATCACCACTCTAGTTGCTGGATCCTGGGTGGAGCCTGGGGAAGGGCCAGGCAGCTAGGGCTGTGGGTAGGGGAAGGGAGGGCTCAGAGCAGTGCTGTTTACTGCCTGGGAGAGAATCCTTTCCAAAATTTAACAACTTCACTCTCCACCAAATGGACCTGGGGTGAGAAAGGAGCTGTTGGGATCATCCTGATTACACCTCTGGGTAAAAATGAGCCCAGCATGAAACCTGTTTTAGATACTGAAACTTGAGGCCCAAGAGGTTAGGAGACAAATGGCTCACGTGGCAGAGTTGGAACTCAAGCCCAGGTCTGAACCTGACACAGATAGACAAAACCTACCAACACCCCGACAGAGGTGATAAGGAGGCCCAAGCATCACGCTTGCCTACCTCAGGTTCTCCCCGCCTTCCGCGCACTCGTGGTTCAGTTTATCGGGAAGGGCCGACACGAAGCCCTTCAGGTGAGCCAGCTCCAGGGACGTCCAGACCTCTTCATCCGAGTACTGGCTGAATGGGTCCAGGTTCATACGGAGGGAACCCGAAAACAAAACTGGGTCCTGTTTGGAGGGAAGACAGCAGATGGCGTGTGAGGCTCAAGGCATGGTTGGACATGGGTGGGGTAAATAGGTGGGATGTAGAAAGTTCTTGCCAGAATTGTTCAACATGGGGTTTTGGAGTTCCTTCGAATCACCACTTCTGAAGATGTCAAAGATGGGGGAAAAAAATCTGGAAAACTGAGTTAAGGGAAATAAAACGGATTTCTTTCTTGTTAGATTTCCTGGAGCATTCAGTACACAAATGTGTTGGGAACTTTATGGAAGCAAGAACCAGCACGCAGATTAGGGCAATTCCTAATTGCAAGGTACATGGATGCGCCTCCGTCTCCTGCCTCCAAATAAGAATCTGAGAAGAAATTTAAGGCAACACAACACTAAAAGGCAAGATACTATGCAATCGCCACCTACAGGAATCAGTCTAGAAAATTCATCATTCTCACCTAGTTCTCGGGAGGTGAGAGATTCCTGTCCGGCAGAGAAGCCAGTGTCTTAACTTGATGCTGTGAGATGTTTAGGACCCTGCCTACTGGGTGGCAAGAGTGAAGGAATGAATGAGACCTACTTAACTCTCCGTTATTTATGTGCGAAGGGGAGATTCCATGAAGAAACATAGCATAATTTCAGTAAAAAGTCACAAAACCACAAAGTAGGAACAAGTGTCCATCTGTTCTGAAAACACACACGCGTCACTTTCAGTGTAACCCTGCACACCTGGGGGATGATGGTGATCTTGAAGCGGAGGTCGTGCAGGCCGATCTTGGCGATGTTGATGTCGTCAATGATGATCTCCCCCTCGGCTGACTCATTGATCCGAAACAAGCCCAGGGTCAGGGACGACTTTCCGGCTCCTGTCCGCCCCACGATGCCAACCTGTGGGGCAGGAAGGACCCAGGTGAAGTGGGAGTGCTGGTATCTGGGCTGACCTCTTGCCCCTCAGCATCCTTAAATACCAGCCACAGAGCAGTTCAGTCATCTGGTCGACCCACCCTCCTCCCACTATATCCACTCCCCTCAGCAGCTTCCAGAGACATTCCTTTAGGGGCTGTTTTGGGCAAAGGTCAAGAAGGACTTCCTTCTCTCTGCCAGCTCCTTTTAGAAATTAAAATTATAATCAGCGCCTTTAATAAGTTAGTTATTTGCAACTCAAGATAGTATTAAGTAACAGTCAAATGGTTTTTCAGTTCTATGATGGTGAGTTTCCCCCATCCTGAGGTGCTGGAATATCTCAAAAGGTTCAGGAAGATGCCCTTGTATCCCAGCTGAGTGAGCAAAGAGAGGTCACGGGTACGACCTGGCCTCCATTTATCCTCTGGAGGGAACTGGGCTCCCCACCTAATGGCTAAGGACTGACGTTCCAGGCAGAACGCTCCCCTTCTCATCTGGGCTCGGGAGAGGCAGGCTCCTCTGCCCTCGGACAGCAACTCACAGGGCAGCCTCATTATGGAACATAAGCCAGAAAGCCTCCATGAGAACACCGCCCACTCTGTTCCTCCTGTTACAAGTTGGAGAAACTCTCTCATGGGAACGGAACATTCTGGGCCTCATGGTAGAGCGTTTAACAACTCCTGAATGTTCAGAGAAGAAAGAAACATTGGCCTCTGGCAAATGGCCAGAAAGACCCTTGGTCTGATTCCTCAGGAGGGTCTGAGGTCTCAGGGTAAGGACGTCCTCTAGGAGCAGCGATACCCTTGAGCCATCCTTAGTAGTGAGGAGGGCATCTTTCTATTCTAGAGGCCTAGGGGCCAAGGGGGCACTTGAAAAGGGGAGGAAGGGATTGGTCAGTGAACTGGGAGGCTCATGTCTGATCTAGAAAGAGCCAGGCAGGGAGGATGGGCCTGGTGCTGCCAGAAGTTCTGATCTTTCAAGAAAAGCAGGAAATGGCTTTTTTTTTTTTTAAACATAAAACATTCCAGATTTTTCAGTATTGGCAATTAAAACTGTTTCCAAAATGTATATCCTCTGGCTCCTGGGATACCATTCTGCAGCCCCGTTGGGACGCTCTGAGCAGATTTTACTGCCAAAGTCCCTCCCGCTCCACCCTGTGGTTTGGGGGCAGAGACGGCCTGGTGGCAATCTGTGCCTGACTGTGGACGGGCGGGGGTCCAGGGGCACCCACCTTCTCCCCACCATCGATGGTGACGTTGATGTGCTTCAGAACCAAGTCCAGGTCCTCTCGGTACCGCAGGCCATAGTCCCGGAACTCCACTCGGCCCACCTGGGGCCAGTCACTGGGCGGGGCCATATCCTGGATTTGCCAGGGAGCCTGCGATGACAGCGGGCAGTGGGTGGGTGTGAGGGGTCTGAAGCCCATCTCACGTGCCCCAGGGCTCCACGTGAGCGGCCTCCACGACCCCTCTGACCTCACGGCCCCCTCCTTCCCACTCACTGCCTCACTGCTCCCCGCACTGACTTCTGAACTGTTCCTTGAACACACCCACGTGTGCTGCTTCTGGGCCTTTGCACTTGCAGCTGCTTCCGCCTGGAACATTCTCTGCCAAGCTACCCCCTCGGCCTGCTTGACTGCTGTGGATCCCAAGTTAATGCAACCACCCTCCCGAGCCCTGGGCCCCTCTTCTCCCACATTCTCTGCATCCATTCTCTTTGAGAGCACTTAACACCTTCTGGCATTTTAAGCAAGTATTTGTTTATTCTGTCACCCACACCCACTGGAATAGACCCTCTATGAGAACAGGTTCTTTTTCCCAGAGCACGCAGTAGCTGCTCAATAAACATTCGTGGACTGAATCAATGAATGAGCGGCCTCCTCTAGACAGACGCAATGCTAAAGGGGAGATACTCTGATGGCTTTGAAGGCCTGGGGGGCAAGAGTAAAAGCGGCGGCCAACACTTGAAGGTCACTCTATCACATGACCTCCTTTAACCCTCACTACAATCCCAAGAGCGGCGTCCTTTCCCATCCCCAGCTTACACACGAGGAAACTGAAACACAGACAGTGAAAGCAACTTGCCTGCAGTCACACAGCCTCTATTTCTGAAAAGCTACTTTGTTCACTTCACATTTCCTGAGGTCTACTCCTGGATATGCTCTGGGCTAGGCTCCGGGCTCTCTTCAGGGAGGAGAGGAATGGAGAGGACAATGAAAGAGAACTTCCATCCTTTCTCCCCCATAAACTTCTTACGTTAACTTTTTTACACCCCTCATATAAATAAGGAGACACTGCTATAAGAACACGGAGGGGACTGGAGAGAAATGGGTGGGACTTTTTACCTGTAAATATATATCATATGTAATATATACAAACACGTAAGTAAACAGATATATTTTAATAGTGGTAAGACTCTGGGTGATCTTTCTCTTGTATTTTTCAAATATGCTCTTATTCTAAAACTATAAAGATAAATAATTAAAGGTAGTGAAAATAAGTACAGTATTTTTAAAAGTAAAAAACTGAATTTCACACTTTAAATGAGTGAACTGCATGGCATATGAATTATACCTCAAAAGCTGATTAAAAATAAATAGATAAATCATGGCAGGGTGGGAACCTGCTGGTGTAATGTGCTCTTATTTCCACAGGGGGCACTCACACCATTCTGAAGAAGGCTCCCTGATGAGGTGGGTCCTGGTTCACCAAACTAAAGGACTTGGCACACGTCACTTCAGTAAATCCCCAAGTCAGAGTCTAACCAGGGTCACTTTAGTTTCATTCCCAAGGGGTGTTTTCTTGGAATGCAGTGATAGTCACTCAGTCGTGTCCAAGTCTTTATGATTTGTGGACTGTAGCCCACCAGGCTCCTTTGTCCATGGGATCCTCCAAGCAAGAACACTGGAGTGGGTTGCCATGCCTTTATCCAAGGGATTTTCCCAACCGGGGATCAAACCCCGGTCTCCTGCATTGCAGGCAGATTCTTTACCGTTTGAGCTACAGGGAAGCAAGCCCATGTGATCTTAGGCAACTAACTAATCCTCTCTGTGTCTGTTTCCTCACCTGCAAAACGGGGGTGATAGTAGAAGGTGAGTTACAAGGTTGTGAAAGGATAAATGGATTATTCTACACAGAGTGTCTAGTACAGGGCCTGACACCGCACAAGGGCACAATGTGTGTGTCCCTATTATTATTGGTGGTGGTGGGGACGGAGGTATCTCTAGGCATTACTGCTATTGCCATTAACACTACTCCTGCTATTCAGAGATGGTGCACAGACAGAATAAGGCAGTTATTCGGGTCAATGTGACACCAAAGCCTTGGGTCCTCCTCCCAGCTGCTCCGCTGACCATGAATGTGACCTCAGACCAGCCATCGTCCCTCACTACATGCCCCTTTCCTCCATCCATAAAATGAGCACTTGGGTTAAATAACTGCAGGGTTTCCCAAACTTCTGTAAACTCCTTACCAATAATAGCATAATTTTTGCAATATCCATATACTGATTCTCCTGTTACTGATATCTGATATTTTCAAACGACTCACTTGTACTTAACGTTTAAACCTAAAGAGAAAATTAGTATGATTCATTTTGCGTAATTTGTAAGTCCCCATTCAAAACATGTAACAAACAACAGAGGGTTTTTTTTTTGTTTTTTTGGTCAGGTGGAGGCTGCCTGCAGAAGGCACATGCTGGGGTTCAGAGGATTCTTCTGAGTCGAGTTACACCGAAGATCATGGTCAAGAGGTCAGGCCAGGGGCTTGCCTTACCTCCTTCTCAGTTTCCGAATATTCTTTGAGTCTCTCCACGGCCACAATGTTAGTCTCCATCTCGGACGACATCCGAACAAGCCAGTTCAAGTATGTGGTGACCTGTGAGGGGAAGAGTCATCCGATGGGGCTTCTAGAGTGAACGTGAGTTGTTTTCTTCTCATGAAGACAGCACGAATTATGAAATGTTTCAGATAATGAAGGCCCAGAAGACAGCTACCTCAGATACCGCGGCCAGACCTGCTACTCTGCGTCTCTTATGCCAGCGCCACATTTCAAAATAACCCGTGGGGCTACACAAGCAATCAGAAAGGAAATGAGAAGGTATTTCCAATTAGATTATAGTTAAGAAAACACACTGCGTCGAAATTTGGGAGATGCAGCTAAAGCAGTGCCTCGAGGGAAATTGATAGTATTAAGTGCACTCTTCCGGGAGCTGGAGGCATCCTCTCAGGCCATCAGGGACGCTCCTTGGCTGATGGGGGAGTCCTGGCTGCCCGACTAATTTCTCCCCTGCTTCGGTCAGTCACTGGGCTCTAGACCTGCACCTCAAACTCCACGTGGCCCTCGTCCCCTTCCCCCACGCCCAAGCGCCTGACAACCGGCTCCCCAGGAAGAGAATTAGCAAAGTCCGCCTGAGTGTGCCCGTGTCTTACCTGCAGGGAGTAGGACACTGAGAGGCCCACCAAGCCGGCACTGAGGCTGCGCCGGGAGGTCACGGCGAACAGCGAGGCAAACAGGACGATGCAGTTGCCCACGCACTCCAGCCGCACGGCCAGCCACCTGCGTGGACACAAGCGGAGGGGCAGGGGCGCACACACGCCCATGTCAGCTTCTCAGAGACTGGGTTTCTGCTCAAGGGTGGGGGTGGGGGAGCTGGGGGGCCACTCTGCTTGCTGAAATAATTCCCCGATAGCTCCTGAGAGAGGCCCTGTTTGCCCAGTTCATGGGACATGGGGAAGAAGGGCCGAAGGGACACATTTCAGGAATTCCTCATTGGTCTGGCAACCCCGGGGACTAAAAGAAAGTTCTCCAGAAGTGATCTTCCCAGGAAACTGAAACTCGCTTTCTTCAGAGCCAACCTTTTCTCACGGAAACCTTAAAATTACATCCATGCGTGCGTTTTTAAAAAAAGGTATCTCACAAACTTCTGAAATGCTAAGAAAAATCATCGACTCTAAGAGGCACCCGTGATTTAAAACAAATGTCTCTTGGCAGGAGGAGGAGGAGGGAGAGTGAGAAATAAACAACCCTTCTCAACACAGCCAAAGGGTCCCCAGACCTAGATCACTGCTGTTTTAGAAACATTAAAATATATTATCTTTCCTTTAAAATATAGACAGATTTACAAGTTTAAAGCTAACTTTTGTAAGCTATCACACAGGAACACTGTTTTTATGTTTGAAAATGTAAAGCATTCTAGAGAGGCAGTATTATCAATTTGTTTTTTCCCACCACATTCTTAAAGATCCGTGTGATGGATCCTCGTGGTGTGAGTTATTCCCACAGAAACCCAGATTTTAACAAACTCCCTAAACAAACTCTGCAAGGGAATTGCAAGGTCTTTCCAGCAACGCCCCATCTTCCCACCCATCTCACACTAAGGGATTTCACAGTGTGCAGTGGGTCACTGCCAGGGTGCTATGACACTTCTCTGAAGTCTCCTCTCTCTCACATCTCAAAAAATATCTTAGGAGGTAAGCAAGTGAGGATGGGATGTTCTAGATTCAGTCAATAATTAGCCAACTTCTACTCCTTTCTCTTTCAAGCCCGATGCTATTCAACCATGCTTGATCCCCCAAAGGGCAATTTCACACGGTCTAACCTAATAGTATTACTAATAAAACTGCTTCCCACACTCATCACCCGGGGGCGGGGGTGGAGAGAAGCATGTGAGGAGAACACGCAGGAGCCGAGGCTGCAGTCACCAACGGTCCTGCATCACCGGGACCACGGCTGAAGGATGGCCCTGCGGTATTTCTGACCCAGAAGAACTCTCCGCGCCTGCGCTTCAGTGGCCTGCGGCCACGCGCTGGCTGACCACGTCCTTTCTGTTTCTAATGGTCCTTCCCTCCTCTCCTCTCACCGAGTCCGAGCTTCCTTCCCGTGAGGCTGGCGCTGGGCCCCACGCCCCACCTCCGGGAGCCTCCCCCACAGCCCCGCGCCCACCTGTTGGCCACGATGCTGGGGTAGTAGGCCTTCTGGTTCTCGTCCACCTTCAGGTCGCTCTGGCGGATGAAGCGCTCCTGCTCCTCAAAGGCGCGGATGACACTGACGCCCAGCAAGGTCTCGTTGAAGTGGGAATAAACCGGGGAGCGGCTGACCGACTCGAGGCGCTTCAGCTGCCGGGAGGAGGCCACGTAGAACCTCTGGGGGAGAGAACGGAACTGGGGGTGGGCGAGGGGCCCCTCATCCCATCCTCCCAGGGCCCTGCTGGAGAAAGTCTGGACGTAAGTGACCCCTTGGGGGCAGAATGCTGGACCGGGCTGCTTTCACCTGAGGAATGGAAGGTGTACTGACTACAAGAGTAACCAGGGCGGCAGCAGTGATGAAAATAACAGCTCACGCTCTGGTGGAGCCCGGATCTCTGCTAGCTCAGCTGGTAAAGAATCTGCCTGCAATGCAGGAGACCCCGGTTCAATTCCTGGCTCAGGAAGATCTGCTGGAGAAGGGATAGGCTACCCACTCCAGTATTCTTGGGCTTTCCCTTGTGGCTCAGCTGGGAAAGAATCGCCTGCAATGCAGGAGACCTGGGTTTGATCCCTGGGTTGGGACGATCCCCTGGAGAAGGGAAAGGCTACCCACTCCAGTATTCNCCTGGGTTGGGACGATCCCCTGGAGAAGGGAAAGGCTACCCACTCCAGTATTCTGGCCTGGAGAATTCCATGGACTGTATAGTCCATGGGGTCACCAAGAGTCAGACACGAGTGAGTGACGCTCACTACACTGCATGTGGAGCCCAGCATCCCAGCACTGCTCTAAGCACCTTCACAGCCATCAGCTCTTTAATCTTCATCAAAAACCTATGAGGCGCTCATTCCTGCTTCACAATGAGTAAACTGAGGTCAACCTCTTCTTCCCTAAGGCCATGTGGCTAGGAAGTGGCAGAGCTGGGATTCAAACACCAATAGTCCGGCCTCAAAAGTGTTGACCTCAACATGGCATGGCCTCTCTGATGCCACTGACCCCGAGGGTTTACGGACCCCGCAGCGTTTCTTTTGGACAAGCAGACCTCAGCGTAAACCCTGCCTCTGCCTGCCCCATGGGCAGAGACCACGTCCACTCTACTCCTGCCCTAACCCAGGTGTTCAGCTCGTTAGGAGACAGAACAAGACCCACCGGGAGCGCTGAGGAACTGTGACCGAGGCTGGACTGGTCACTGAAGACCTCTGTTCTCCTGGCTGTTTCTGCATCTGTACAAAAGGACCCGAGGAGACCGAAGTTCCCTCTCCCAGACGAGCTGAAGACGTAACGTGTCTGCGCTGGCCTCGTCAACAGCAGGGCCGGGCAAGTGGACACAGGCACTCAGGGCCACGCCCCCTGCCCCCTGGGCTATGCTGGCTGCCCTGGGCCATCTCAGGGGCAGAGGCCTTCCATGGGGAACGCAGAACAGAGTGGGTGGCTCCTATGAGGCCTTCAAACTTTTTCTGGATGCCAGCTCACATGGGAATTTGAACTACCTGTTGGGGAGCCCTCTGGGGGCCCCAGAAACTCTGAGAACTAACCCAGGGGTCCCACCAACCCGGGCCGCCTCAGACTGGGGGTTCTGCCAATCCCTGCACATGGTCAGATGCCACCTGTCCTCCGGCGGCTCCCACTGCGCCTTGGGACGCAGTCCAGACCCTGTGGTCTGGCTCGAGGACCCCGGCATCTGCCCCCATTACCCTCTCCTGGGATCACCTCCTCTCTCAACTTTCTTTCTTCCTGGGTGGAAACTGTTCTAAAACATTTGACCTGCTCAACTTATTTCACTTGTCATGTTCTCTGGACTTTATTTCCTCTAAAAAGTGAAACTGAGACTTATTTTTTGTTATGGAATAGTCTTATTTTTTAAAAAAATTATTATTAGCTTTCCTTTTAAGCTCTATTCCTGGAGAGAATCCACCCTGTGGACTCACCTGATTCTTCCAGACACCAAGGAGTGCCTGGTGCTCGTAAGTGAAAAATGAATGATCGACATACACCTGTCTTGTGCTGAGCTTGGGCTGAGAGCTAAGACACTAAGGCAAGTTCTAGGGAATTTTCACAGATGCCATGCAATTCTGGGGGCAGAAATGACTTATTCCAACAATCTGGAAGCCCCGACAGAATTCCATATCACCTTACCTCTTACATTCCTTTTCCTAAAAATGAATTGCAAACACTAATGTATCAGTTCAGTTGAGTTGCTCAGTCATGTCCAACTCTTTGCGACCCCATGGACTGTAGCACACCAGGCTTCCCTGTCCATCACCAACTCCCGAACCTTACTCAAACTCATGTCCATTGAGTCGGTGATGCCATCCAACCATCTCATTCTCTGTTATCCCCTCCTCCTCCTGCCTTCAATCTTTCCCAGCATCAGGGTCTTTTCCAATGAGTCAGTTCTTTGCACCAGGTGGCCAAAGTGCTGGAGTTTCAGCTTCAGCATCAGTCCTTCCAATGAATATTCAGGACTGATTTCCTTTAGTATTGACTGGTTGGATCTCCTTGCAGTCCAAGGGATTCTCAAGAGCCTTTTTCAACACCAAAGTTCAAAAGTATCCATTCTGCGGTGCTCAGCTTTTGTTATAGTCCAACTCTCACATCAATATATGACTACTGGAAAAACCATAGCTTTGACTAGATGGACCTTTGTCAGCAAAGTAATGTCTCTGCTTTTTAATATCCTGTTTAGGTTGGTCATAGCTTTTCTTCTATATTTGAAAGTGAAAGTTGCTCAGTTGTGTCCGACTCTTTGCAACCCCATGGACTGTACAGTCCCTGGAATTCTCCAGGCCAGAATACTGGAGTGGATAGCCTTTCCCTTCTCCAGGGGATTGTCCCAACCCAGGGATCAAACCCAGGTCTCCTGCATTGCAGGTGGATTCTTTAGCAGCTGAGCCACAAGGTAAACCCAAGAATACTAGAGTGGGTAGCCTATCCCTTCTCCAAGGGATCTCCCCAACCCAGGAATTGAACCAGCGTCTCCTGCATTGCAGGTGGATTCTTTACCAACTGAGCTATGAGCGAAGCCCTCTTCTATATTAGTGTATATTAATTATTAATGTAGTATTAATATAGTGTAATTATATAGTATATATAATATACAATTAGTGTATATTAGACATACACTAATGTATATCCATTTAAAACTTTTTTCAAGTGATATAGATAAGATGATTAGAAAACCATTATATTAAGTCCATGATCCCTGAGATACACACTACTCAGATTTCAGTGTATAATGTTTTAATTCTTTTCCAGAGAGAGCGAACGAACACCTATCCTTACACATCCTTAAAAGCCACTTTTTGAGATGCAACTTACTTCCACTGGGAAGTGCACTAAATCTTTACAGCTTGGTGAATTCAATGTGTATCTACACCTGTATATGCACCACCAGATCAGAATCTAGGAAACTGCCTCGTGTTCTCTCACAGTCAATTCCCCGTAGAGCCACTCTTCTGACTTCCATTTCATCGCTCCTGCCTGTTCTTCAACTTCATAAAAACAGAATCACACAAATGTACTCTTTTGTTGTCTGGCTTATTCTGATCAATATAGTATCTCTGAGACTCATCCTCCTTGTGTGTATTAGTAGCTCATTCCTCTCTACTGCTAGGTCACGTCTTTTGTATAAATACACCATGATGTATGTATCTATCCTCCTGTGACTGACATTTGAGGTAATTATGAATCAAAACGCTAAGCACATTCTAGCCTATTTGTTTCTGTGATACAGTCTCTTGATTCTTTTTCAAAAAAATGTTTGTTTATTTGGCTGTGCCAAGTCCTAGTTGAGGCACGAGGCCTCTTCGATCTTTGCTGTGGCATGTGGATCTTTGGTTGCACCATTCAAACTGTTAGTTGTTTTATGTGGGATCTAGTTCCCCGGCCAGGGATGGAAACCAGGTCCCCTGTATTGGGAGCTCAGAATCTTAGCTGCTGGACCACCAAGGAAGCCCCTCTCTTGGCATACACAGCGAGACTGCTGAGTTAAAGGAAATCAACCCTGAGTTAAAGGATTCACTGGAGGGACTGATGCTAAAGCTCCAATATTTTGGCCACTGGATGCAAAGAATCAACTCACTGGGAAAGGCCCTGATGCTGGGAAAGATTGAGGGCGGGAGGAGAAGGGGGTGACAGAGGATGAGATGGCTGGATAGTATCAGTGACTCAATGGACATGAGTTTGAGCAAGCTTCGGGAGATGGTGGGGGACAAGGAAGCCTGGCGTGCTACAGTCCAAGGGGTCACAAAGAGCTGGACACGACGTAGCTACTGAACAACAATACATAGTTAAAAGCTACGAGAAAAATTCTCCCATAATCTCTTTCTAAGGATTCGTAAGGCAATGTTTTCATTTTTCTACCTCCATTTCCAGTCCTGCCCACGCACATTACGCATTTTGTCTTAGTTATAATGACAGTGTGCCGACAGCATGGGCCTTTGGCTAACTTCTTTCCCTTTGTTGTTTAATAATAAAATTATTGGTGCTTCAACAGTGTGTTCCCAGTTCTCCTGTTAAAGAGATGTTAACAGTCCATTAGCACATTACCCATGGTGTGCTCAAGGCCCTGCTACCGGCAGGTAGATATCTGAGCTGCCTTGAACGTCACAATGGGCCTCCTCTTTTGTTCTTTTGAATTGGGTCCTCCAGGAAAAGGTCCAGCCGGGGTAAGAACACGGCTAACATTTTTGGTAAATGCAGCTGGAGGACTTTCCACAAAAGCTGGCATCGATATAAAGAGAACACAGAAAGGGTCTGGGAACTGGATGAGCTCTGATTCCATCTTTGTTTACACTCACCAATGCTGGGCCACAGCGTGGACGCCAAGCCACGGTGTGGGAGGGTGTGGGGTCTGGCTGACCCGGCCAAGGTCTCAAGAAACCCACACCAACAGGCCACACACAGTGCAGTGTGAGTACAGAGCACCCCCTGGCTTCTTACTCTTATTTTGTGCAGCAGTTGTTAGGCTCCCATCTAAACAGCAGTCTCCCGTTAACACGTATGCTGCAGCTGCTTTTTTTAATTAAAAGAGTATTTTTACCAATATACATGTATTTGATGACTTTGAATTTAAACACTTAACAATCAGCATGAGCAAGGTAAAAAGGTGTCCTTTTCAGGGGCAGGAAAACACAGTCACAGTTACCAGCTTAAACTGTGGAATCAGATGTGAGCTCACATTCCCAGTTCTGCCCCCTGGACCTCAACATACTGATCTGTTAACTGGACGCACCACAGTGAAGCTGACGCAGCCATCAAATGCTCCCTTACTCTGTTCCCCTTTCTGGAGCTTATTTGTGATGGCTGGAGCTCCAGTAGCCTTCTTGGACCATGAAACCAACTTAAGAATGGAAGGCAAAGATGACAGAAACACACACACACAAAACCCCCAAAACAAAACAGTGAAGGAGTCTGAAGTTACCAAACTCATCAAGCTGTCATGTGTGTGTGCGTGCTAAGTCGACTCAATCGTGTCTGACTCTGTGCTACCCTATGGACTGTAGCCCACCAGTTTCCTCTGTTCATGGGATCCTCCAGGCAAGAATACTGGAATGAGTTGCCATGCCCTCCGCCAGGGGATCTTCCCAACCCAGGGACTGAACCCGCATCCTTATGTCTCCTGCATTGGCAGGAGGATTCTTGACCACTAGAGCTGCCTGCGAAGCCCTGAACAGCACACCTCTAAACTTCTATTATGGCTTCCTTGGTGGCACAGGTGGTGCAGAATCTGCCTGCAATGCAGGTGACCCAGGTTCAATCCCTGGGTTGGGAAAATCCCCTGGAGAAGGGAATGACAACCCACTCCAGTATCCTTGTCTGGAGAATCCCATGGACAGAGGAGCCTGGTGGGCTACAGTCCATGGGGTCACAAAGAGTCAGACAAGACTGAGCAACTCACACTTCCACATTCACTTTCAGATCTCTATTACAGGGGAAAAAAATATCAAAGCTGTTATTTATTATTCATGTCTGCATTATCTGCCTATGACCTAAAGAATTTCATACTTAGAGAAAGTTTAATAATAAAGATGACTTCGTGGCTATAGCTTATTTCCTTTTAAAACTTTCAGCTTAAAAAAACCCTTATTATTAGGAAAAAAGGATGTTTGGTTATTGTAAGCTGAAAACCATCAACTTAGGTATTCAAAGCCAACAAAAACAAACCTTAACCCTCCTCTGAGACATCTTCCATAGCCTCACGCTGGGGAAGCTTAAACGGTCCCCATTTAAGTTAAAAGTAAAGTAAAAATTTTAAACCATTTAAACTTAAGTAGTTCTCACCGGACAGCGACACAGAGCAGCGCTTGTCCTGGACCCCAGGACCCACCTCTCACCTGCACTAAGAAGTAGATGAGGCCCAGGGGCGGGATGATGACTGCAGCCATGGGCGTGGCCAGCAGGATGATGATGCAGGCGCCAATGACGTTGAACAGGGAGCCCATGAACATCTTGATGACCTGTGGGATCATCGAGTCCACCGTGTCCAGCTCCTTGGAGAAGCGGTTCACCAGGTTCCCGCTGGGGGTCCGCTCGAAGAAGCTTATGGGCGACCGGAGGACGTTATGCAGCAGGTCCAGGTGCAGGCGGCGGGAGGCCAAGATGCCCCCGATGGACACCGCCATGGAGTAGCCGAACACCGAGATACCTACAAACACTCTCGTGTCAAACTCCATGGCGGGAGACGGACCAAGCGGGGCCAGGGGCGAGGGGCCGTGTGACCATGTGGACAAAGCAGCCTGGACTCCCAGCTTCTAATAACAATAATGGTGGCAATTATTACCCAGCACATACTATGTGCAAAACTCACCGTGTCTTTTACGTGCATCTAATCCTTATGAGGACCCTGCATATGTTCTATTAGTACCCATGTTACAGATATGGAAGAATACTGGCGTCGGTAGCCTTTCCCTCCTCTAGGGGAATCTTACCAACCCAGAGATCAAACCCTGGTCTCCCGCATTGGAGGTGGATTCTTCACCAGCTGAGCCACAAGGGAATACCAACTAAAGCTCAGATGGGCGAATCCCTTTACCCTCCAGAAGAGGGTGGGCTTTGAGCCACACTGCCTTGCTCAATGCCAGCTCTGCCATGAATAAGCTGTCTGACTTTGGGCAACTTACTGAACGCTTCTGGGCCTCAGTTTCTGCATCTCTAAAACAAAAAAAAAATGAGCTCCTACCTCATGTGACTGTTGCAAAAGTAAAATAAAACACCTTAAAGTGTTTACAACAGAACCAGACACCAAGTAAGTGCTGAGTAAACATTAGCTATTACTGGTAATGCTGCTGTGTCTGGGGATCTTTGTGGGACCACAGGAAGGGTACACACAGGATTTCTCAGCGTCCTCACTGTTAACCTCTGGGGCTGGATCATCCTCCGTTGTGGAGGCCACGCTGGGCACTGCAGGATGTTTAGCGACATTCCTGGCCTCTAGGTCCCAGCAGCACCTGCCCCCACAGGGAAGCTGTGACAACTCCAAGTATCTCTAGATATGACTAAACTCTGTAAGTATCTCTAGACATGAGGGTAGCATTGCTTGCATTACGAACCAGAAGTAGAAACTAATTCCCACCTTTGTGCAGGAGGTAAAAGTCCACAAATAGGACTTCACAGAAACTCCATCACCCTGCCAGAACAATGAGGGGCAAGAGTCCTTGGTCACCTTCTATTTCTCAACTTAACTCATCTGTAAAATAGGCACGTTGGAGCTCCCTTCCCCTCTGTCTCCTAGAGCCACATGAAACAGCGCATTCAAAAAACGTTCATTCTGCAAATATCTGAGTGTCTATTATGTGATAGTTACTGTGTGTTTGGCTTGATTTGTGGGTCTAACAAAACCCTGACAAGTTGGGGGACCTGATTCTATAACAAGAAATGGAAGCGCCTCCAAGTGCCAAGAGCAGGTGAGGGGCAAGGCAGGCTCACCTTGTGAAATGCCCAGGGCTCCATAGACACTCAGCCGGACTTGTGTGTGCTCCTGGGTCCCGTTGACGATGGGGTCATCCGTCCAGAGACTGAGCCAATAGTTAGAGGCCAGGGAAGCCACGTGGTTACACAGGAAAAGGAAGATGCTCAGAAAGGAGATGAAAAGCCCAATCGCCTTCATGTAGTCCCAGTACACGGACAGCTTGACCTGGGACCAGGAGAGAAGGCATCTTACAGAACACACCCACCAGCCATGCCCACCCAAGGTCAGGAGCCTCAACAGACCCTGTGCAGTCCAGTGCCCCCACCTAAGCTCATGCCTACAATCCTCTTCCCCTTCAGTTACTTGGCAAAGAAATCAGCAGAAGCAAAGCCAAGGTTTCTGCCCTCACGGGCAGAAGAGACAGGCTTGAGCAGTGAGACAGGCTTTCATCAGATAACTGCCCAGATAAATGCATAATCCCAGAGAAGGGCTGGAAGTGGTACATGATTCCACGGCAATATAAAACTGGGTATCCTGACCTAACCCAGGGTGGAGAGGAATCAGAGGAGGTTTTCCGTAAGGAAGGGACATCAAAGAATTAACCAGGTGAAAATGAAAAAAAAAAAAAAAAAGGCATTCCAGGCACAGGGATCAACATGTGCAAAGGCCCTGAGGTAGAAGGGACACAGAAAGGAGGCAAGGATAGCTGGAGCGTGGTAAGGCTGGAGAATAGGGAGTGGCTGGACCACACAGGACCCGAGAGATCCTGTCCAGGATTAAGTTTTACTCCAGGACTATCAGGAAGGCATCGAAGAGTTTGAAGAAAATGGGAAGATGGGATATGTTGCCTAGTAACCATGACCAAGTGTCACATCCACTCCCCCCACCCTCAGCCCTCAGAACACGCCACTGGCTTCCAATCACTTGGCCCTTGCTCAACGTGTTTCCCAGCTCCACGGAGTGACAGCGGGGGGCCTCTCTCACCCCAGTGTCTCCTGTGGAGCCCAGCGTGGGGGCCATCGAAGAGTTTGAAGAAAATGGGAAGATGGGATATGTTGCCTAGTAACCATGACCAAGTGTCACATCCACTCCCCTCACCCTCAGTCCTCAGAACACGCCACTGGCTTCCAATCACTTGGCCCGTGCTCAACCTGTTTCCCAGCTCCACGGAGTGACAGCCGGGGGCCTCTCTCACCCCAGTGTCTCCTGTGGAGCCCAGCGTGGGGGCCATGTAATCACGTGCGGTCACTCAAAGGGCAGCTGCACACCACGGGTGGGCACAGTGTGCTCTGGGTCAGCCTGACACCCAACCTGCTCGGTGTGGATTCAGCAAACGCCGGGTATCTTTCCCTGTGTGTGCTCCCTGTCATGTCAGGCTTTTCATGAGGGTGGACTAAACGGGATTAGTGCCCTCATAAAAGGGATCCCTCATCCTTCTGTCCTATGAGGACACTGCGAGAGGATGGCCATTTACAAACCAGGGAGCTCTCTCACCAGACACTGAATCTGCTGGCGCCATGATCCTGGACTGGCCAACATCCAGAATTATGAGCAATAAATAAATGTATGTTGTTTCTAAGCCACCTGTACCATGGTCTTCTGTTATAGCAGCCCAAAGGGACTAAGACAGGTGCTAAAAACAAAGCCCAGCTGAGACCTTCTCACTGATAAACAGGCACATCTCAGACACTTGGAGGCTTGGTTCCAGACTACTGCAAAAAATCGAATATCCCAATAAGCTGAGTCACATGAATTTTCTGGTTTCCTAGTGCATATAAAAGCTGTATTTATGCTCTACTGAAGTCTATTAAGCGTGCAATAGCACTATGACTAGAAAAACAATGCACACACCTTAATCAAAATATATTTGGTTGCTAAAAAGTGCTAATCATAATTTGGGTCTTTGGTGAGTTGTAGTAGTAATGTCAAAGATCACAAATATTACAATGTTAACACAGTACAACAATAACAAATATTTTATATAATAACAAACTATAATAATGATAAAGTTTGAAATATTCCAAGAACTACCAAAATGTGGCACAGAGACCCAGCATGAGCAAATGCTGCTGGAAAAATGGCACAAGATTGCCACACACCTTCAGTTTATAAAAAACACAGCATTTGTGAAGTGCAACAAAGCCAAGGGCCATAAAACAAGATCTGCCTGTAATAAGGGCAAAAATACAAAATAAAAAGAAGTAAAAAACAATTTTTTCTGATGACACAATTAATGTACCTCAGGGCTGCGTCTGTGATGACACCCACACACAGCTGACCCCCGTGAGGCTGGAGCCTGGATTCAAGGCATCACGTCATCTACGGCTACCGAGGCCCCAGCTGCTCAAAGGAGGCAGCCATCAGGAAGGCAGAGGCTATAGGTGACCACCCTGGAGTCTGAGAGTTGGGTTCACAGCCCAGCTCTGTTGCTCACCAGCTGTGACCTGTGACAAGTCACCTTGGCCCTCCACCCAGGTTTCCAGTGCTTAAAACAGTACCTTTCAAGCCTCCTGGGGAGGAAAATGTGAGTCAAGATGACCGCACCCCAACCAGGGCCCAGCTCCCACAGACACACAGCAACCTGACCACTGTCCTCACCTGCCCCGTCTGAGCCTTGTCCGCCTCCACGAGCTTCCAGGTGTCCTCCGTGGGCCCGGGCTTCTGCAGCTCGGAGGTACTGGTGTGGTGCCGGCTCACATCCCCGCTGTAGGAGGAGGAGCTGCTGAGCTGCCTGGGGAAGCAAGGCACATGGACATGGGTGTCCCCAGAGGAAGGCCCTAAGGAGGCAGCCATCAGGAAGGCAGAGGCTATAGGTGACCACCCTGGAGTCTGAGAGTTGGGTTCACACCCCAGCTCTGTTGCTCACCAGCTGTGACCTGTGGCAAGTCACCTTGGCCCTCCACCCTGGTTTCCAGCGCTTAAAACAGTACCTTTCAAGCCTCCTGGGGAGGAAGATGTGAGTCAAGATGACCGCACCCCAACCAGGGCCCAGCTCCCACAGACACACAGCAACTTGACCACTGTCCTCACCTGCCCCGTCTGAGCCTTGTCCGCCTCCACGAGCTTCCAGGTGTCCTCCGTGGGCCCGGGCTTCTGCAGCTCGGAGGTGCTGGTATGGTGCCGGCTCACATCCCCGCTGTAGGAGGAGGAGCTGCTGAGCTGCCTGGGGAAGCAAGGCACATGGACATGGGTGTCCCCAGAGGAAGGCCCTGGGCAGGATCGGTGGCCTCCCCCCAAGCACCAGGCCTCGTTCACTCCTCTGATTTTACAGAGAAGACCTATAGAGGGGATGGGTCTGGCCCCAGGGTTCCATGGGAGAACTATTCCTTTAGGCAGATTTTATTCAAAAAGCATCTCCCCTCCACCCCCACCCCGTGCTCATCAGCTTTATGCGGATCATGACAGATCATCACCCAGAGAGCTTTCCTTCCTGGGGAGATGTGTGCTTGAGGGACGACATGGGGTGTGTGTGTTCATATGTGTGTACGTGTGCACACATGCATGTGCACACGGCTCAGATTCACATGAGCAAAGGGATGGGGTACGACTTCCACTTTGCAGTCAACTCTACTGCCTTCTTTGTCTGTCTGCCCTGATGCGGTGAGCGTGGAGGTGGGAGAGGCCCAGGGGGCTGGAGGCGGAGGGGTCCTCCAGGATGCGGCCAGTTAGGGACTGAGGAATGGAGTCCTGCCAGCAGCCTCGTGCATTTGGAAGCGGATCCTTCCCCAGACGAGCCTTCAGTTGATCACCCCAGCCTGGCTGATGCCTTGGTTACAGCTTTTGAGAGACCCTGAGCAGAGAAGCCAGCTAAGCTGTGCCCAGACACCCTGACCCATAGGAACTGAGATGACAGACCACTAAGCTTGTGATCACTTGTTACGCAGCAACAGAAAAATGAATACCCAGTGAGCTGTGAATTTCCGCTCGGTCCACCCATGGTGCGCTACTGCAGTGTCCCGTGGTCACCCACTCCGACATCCCAGGACGGCCTGCAGGCGCCTGCCCCATCTCAGCTAAGCCTTACCTTATGCTGGCCGCCTGCACAGACCAGGGCAGTGCCCCCTCAGCCCCCACATGCTCCAGGCGAGGCACTGTTAAGAGTGCTTCACACACACACACACACACACACACACACACACACACGCCGCGCTCACACCCGGACTGCTGCCCCAGCAGAGAAGGAAGAGTGTCATGTACGACACATAGCTGGGCCCAGGAGGGGACTGCAGGCAGAGTTCTGAGGGGCACAGAAGCTCATGCTAATTTTCTTCCCAGCCCGTGTCTGTGAAATCCCCCCACCCCAAAAGAAGCAACCCCAGGCAGCTCCAGCTCACCTAAATAATAGCTGAGCAGCATTTACTGAGCGCCGGAGGCAGGAGGCACCATTCTAAGTGACTACATGCCGTATCACAGAGGCCTTCCTACAATCCTGCACGGGAGGGGCGCCAAAGGCCCTATTCGACAATGGAGGAAACCAAGGCACAGACAGGTTAATGCCCCTCCTCCAAATACCCCATGATCTGACCAAATGCAACCTTCTTTAAAGCACCAAAGCATAAAACTTATGAGCACTGGCTCAGAGGCTGAACTCGGGTTCAAATAGTCAAGCTTGGCTTCTCTCCGGCTGTATGGCCTGTGGACAGCTCTCAGTCTGCCTACCTGTAAAATGGGAAGATGAGAGAAACGACCTCCAGGTTTATGGACTATACAGGACTTAGCACTGCACCTGGCTCCTAATGGCACATAAAATGAAGCTGCTATTGTTACTGTGACTATTTTGAATTGGCTGCTGGTTCTTACAGCCTCAACATTCCAGGCCCCGCTGAGTGACTTGAGCAAAGAGCCACGACATGTAGGGAGCTTGAGTGTCAGAAGCACAGACGGATGGTTAAATCTAGCCGTGAGGCCTGCGTGAGCCATGCCCCCTGGCAGGAGCACAACGNAGCCTCAACATTCCAGGCCCCGCTGAGGGACTTGAGCAAAGAGCCATGACATGTAGGGAGCTTGAGTGTCAGAAGCACAGACGGATGGTTAAATCTAGCCGTGAGGCCTGCGTGAGCCATGCCCCCTGGCAGGAGCACAACGAGGCTTCCCCTTTGGGCCTTTGCTCTCTGGGAAGTGAGGTTCCGCCAGGATTTGGGGTGTGGGGCGGGGGAAGCAGAAGCTAAAGGCCTTTTTTTGGTGGTGAGCCTTGCTGCGGACACCCGGTTCCTCCTCCCTCACAACTGGCAGGGGGAGACACGTGGTGCTGGGAGAATCCACAGGGTCCCCCAGCCCGCTCCATCTCACCTCTGCATTTGCTTCCCTGCTGTGTCCGTCACCAGCATGCCGTTCTCCATCTGTTTCACTTCCTTCCCTGGACCACCGACGCCTGCTAAGCCTGGCAGAAAGGAGGAGGGGGCGGACGGTGATTTCAAAGGCTGGACACTAACACCTGTCACCATGTGGGGAGATGGCAGATAACCTGGCCGCCAGGAGGCTCAGAAAGCAAGACCTGCTTTGCAGCGGCCACAGACAAGACTCCCTGGCTGGCCAGCTCTCTCAGGGACAGGGACAGTGTTTTGCAACCATCTCAAGAGCCCTGAGCAAGTGCCCTGTGCCAGCAGCAACCAGGAAAATCCAGTTCTGCTGATGGTCTCTTGGCAGTATGCAGCCTGGCTCATGGAGTCAGGACACAAACGAACCACGCAGGGGAAAGGACACGCTCTTCTGGTCCCCAAGCATCAGTGAAATCCCAAATAAGTAACAACCCCTTATAGACAAGGGCATCAGACACTGGAGTCCCAGGCGCCTCCAGCCAAGGGGTTAACCCACTGGTTGCCAGATCAAGGGGAGGTCCTGAAGATCGGACTTAGGGGTTACCTGGGACTGCTGGGGCAGTGGCTGTTCTCCCAGTAATACGGAACTATTCCAACAACTGATACAGGTGCCATGGGCACACCAGCTGGGTATCTGCTCCAATCCCAGGAAGTATCCGCCCAGCATTAACACTGATCCCTGTTACCTTAGAGACAGTGGCTGACATTTATTCAGTGTCAGCCGCTGTGTTCTGCTGAAATACATTATCTCCTTTAATCTTCCGACAAGTCAGGGATGTGTTTATTACCACCCACTCTGCACTGACTTCCTCACTCTTTGGTGCCGGGAGACAGAGAGCAGGAGAGAGAACATAACGCAGGACTCCGAAGGGCTGACCCCGGAGGAGGATGCAGGAGAGAAGTTACGAAAGGGTATGAATACACAGCCAGCAGTGAACCTGCGAACATGCTGATGTGACAAGAATTAAAGCAGAATCCAGAAAGATAGATTCTCTCAGGCAACAGCCATGGGAAGCGACAGAGGATGGCAAGGAAATAGGGCTGGGGGTCGTTCCTGGGCTGATGGGGGAGCTCTGGGCCAGTGATTCTCAATCTTGGCCATGCGTGACTCATCCGGGGATGCCCTGGGGCCGGCCCTGGTCCCTGTACTGACTCTGCCAGGGAGGCTGACTCCACACTGGGAGCAGTCAGGGGGCTGGGGGCTGGGGGCTGGGATGTGTGGGACGTGCTCGTTCACCTCCTAGCTGTGTGAACTGGGGAAGCAATGACCCTCTCTGAGCCTCACTTTCCACATCTGCAGAATGGGAAGAACAGCAGCACCAGCCCCCATGAGCGGGAGGAAGAAATGAGGCTGTGCTTGGTGAATGGAAGACAAGGTCGTGGTGCATACTGTTATCTACATTGTTAAACCTGTCCCATAGATAATTCTGGGGCACATCCATGACTGAGAATCACTGTTTAAATGTTTCCTTTATAATCAGCATCTTTTTTAATTGGGAAAAAAAAAAACCTAAAACAAATGAAAAAGAAGAGTGATAACAGGCAGGACTTCCCATGCAGTGGCCTGCAGACAGCGCACACACACATGCATAGCACTGGGGCCCAAGCCTGGCCTCGACTGTGTTCTGCTGTGCAGGGTGGGGGTGCTTTACAACACTCCCAGAGACCCCCATCTTGCAGCAAGTACTTCAGAGAGCTCCCTGTCCTGCCTGGCTGCCCAGGTGCCCTCTGGAAACCTCAGCCTTCCCTCCCCACTCCTGCTTCACATGCAGTGCAGGTCCCCACAGTGGCCTCCATGGTGGCGTCTTCATTGAAACCCTATTAGCCCACTGGCGATACACCAACTGGGGCAGCTGGAAAACCTTCGTCTGCAAGGGCGGGACCGTGAGTCCCAGGAGGAGAATGGGAATGTGTGCGCTATATCGTCCTGTTCTTTGCAGGGGATTTGCCCCCTTTCCCAGTCTCCCAGACCTGTCTCCCAGGATGCCCAGGCTTCCCAGCCAAGGGGGAACCTGCCCAAGGTCAGCCCATCAGGATCCCTCCCCCAGAGGACTTTAAGTGGTGGCCCCACAAGGACCAAAGATCTGTACAACTGTTCTGTCCCCAAAGGAGTCTCATGTCCAGAGCTCCCAATGCCCGAGCCTTGATTATCCACTTCTGCCTTGATTTCTGCTATCTGCCTTTGACTTCCTTTTGCTACTTGGTATCTTTCTGGTAAACACCCTTGTTTAAGTGGCCAAAATCAGCTTCAGTCGCTGTCAAAAGGGGGCCTTGGTGTGGACCCTCAGCCACACACTGCTGGCTCTGGAAGGCAGGAGGCATGGGTCTGCTCTGGGGCCAGTTCATGCCTTTCTGTCCCTAGAGGGAGACCGGGCAGCCTTTCCTGCTCAAGTTCTTCTAGAAGACATGCCACCTCTGGGCACCCCTGACACCTGCAGCTACTCCATGAGGGGCTCATCACCCTGTGCTTGGGTC